ATGACTGCCTCTGACCTCCAAGAACGGTACGGGGTTATTCAGCATGCACTGATGTTGAATTGAACCCTTTCATCAATTTAACAACCCAAAAAACTCGTAGTTCACCGTGCTAACAGTCCATCTAAACGTGGTTGAGAGCATTGCCACATTTTTCGGACATTCTCTGAACGAAAACGTCCGCTGGCCCCAAAGGTGGTTTTGTGGTCCATGGATCCGGCTTCGGCGACTTCTTCCACCTTTCTTTCGCTCCAACTTCATCCTTTCTTGCCTAACCCACGAATGGCGTTAATTCATTCCTGTTAACAAAACCCCATGCTCGTCATCTCAAGACGCTTTTTGATATACTCCCATGAGAAGGTCTTGCTCTTTTTTCACCTATACTGCGGTGTTGGTTGCGTGGTGCAGCGCTTGCAAACGCGTGTGAGGTTGTCAAGCGTTCGCGGCGTGCAAACCGTGTCCAACTGGGATAACCAAACCTGGACCATTCTCAATTGTGTCAACGAAGTGATGAGTCATCCACGAGGCGACGTTAGCTTTTCAGTCGCGTCTTGCCTTCCCCAACGGCTTTGCCATTCCCACTTGCCTCGCGACTGTCTCGTCTTCTGGTGATTAAGTGTTGTTCTGTCGTGAATTTGTCACCCATTTGTCTTTCACCCAGTTCCTCGGTGGCATTTCCATGTTTGTCACGCTCTCTCCCTCTCGCTGCGTGCGTGTGTGCGCGCGCCTTTTTAATCACCTCCGGAAGCTGTCTTGTGTCGCACCTGACGCTAGCCCTCATTCCCTCGATTTACGCCGTTTTTGTCTGAGGAATTGGGCATTTATTCAGGCCATCGAGGCACTGGCGATGCCCACTTTTAGGTCACCTGGCCACCACAGTAACCATTCGTAATTAATCACCTGTCGTCCAGAATTCTTTGCCCATAGCTCGCGGTTGTCGCGATCACATCGCGCTCTTTGGAATCGTTCTGGAATCATTCCAGCACGTCTTGGCAACGCCTTGTGTCCGACCGTTTGTGGAGATCAGGGCGTGTTGGTAACATTTGATGGACCCCACCACCGTTTCGTTCAGTCAATTGCCGTAGTCGTCTTGGTGTGAATGAAGTTACTTTTAAACAATGAGATGTTTTTACTAATGTGTGAGGAATAGGACCGCCTCTGACCTCCAAGAACGGTCATTCCAGCACGTCTTGGCAACGCCTTGTGTCCGACCATTTGGGGAGAACAGGCGTGTTGCTGACATTTGAGAGACCTCACCACCGTTTCGTTCAGTCCCACATTCGTTCCGCGTCTACCACGCATTTTAACGGTCTCTTCAGAAAGGTGAACAGTTTAAGATATTTTGCACCGAGTATTGACATTCTTGTATAATTCAGCAGGTTTTAGACAAAACACAAACTCAAAAATTTAGTGTCTTGTGCAAATTTGCACTAAAACCAGACACGACAACCCGATTCGGCGGCTGACTCAAATATTTCAGGTTTTTTTTAAATTAACAAAAAGACGGACGCACCATTACCGACCGACTCACCGAATTCAAAGCAGGCGCTGCAGTCTCCAACTTGTAGGCTTGTGCGCGCTTTTCTCAGAATTTTTCACCCACAACACTAATTTGGGGTCCTGTGTAAATTTTAACACACACAATCACCCCCCAAAACCAGACACGACAACCACCAGACATGTCTGGTTTTTTTATGCTCGAAGTCTCCGAGTAGCAAGTGAGGATGCGTGCGACAAGAAAAACGGGAGAAAAATCAGAACTCACATCGATGGAGCGCTGCAAGTTGAGCATCCCCGCGCCCTGCTCAAAGATGGAGGCCGTTTTGCGTCCCTCAACGCTGATTGGCCCGGCACCGGCCATTATGGCCTGCTTCAGGCTGGCGGGGTTGATGGGCGGGCAGCCGGACGGACACGGGGCGTCTCGGCCCTCCGGACGATGCGACAGTGCAGCACTGAAAGCGCGGGGGCGAAGGCATTACGTGATTGGCAGTTTGGATAGGGAAGAACACACACATACGCACACACAAACTCACTTAATGAGTAGGGCCACAGATCCTGTGACAACTGGCGAGGCCGCGCTAGTTCCCGACAGAGATTTGCAGCCCCCATCGAGGTTGGAGCTGATGACGCCTGTAGCCCAGGTCACAATGTCCGGTTTGAACCGGCCGTAACCGTCGCGCATTTCCTGCAACAGGAGCGCACGTAATACTTACACCCTACTGAAACTTTGTCAGCACACAGTGAAATTAAGACAAACCCAGGCGGTTGGGCCGCGGGATGAGAAGGTGGCGACGTTGCCCAGGGCGTCCACGCCACCAACACCAAGAACGTCCATTTGGTCAGCGGGGTTGTTCGGACTACCGAAAACTGGCCCGTCATTTCCAATTGCTGATACCATCAAAATGCCGTTGGCGGACAATTCATTTACCTAATTTAAGCAAAAGACAAACAATTAACCAGGAGGACGTCCACCAATTGGACCCTAGACAACATCCATCAAAAAACCCACCTTATCCACGAAGGGCTGATCCATGAAGTCGGGACCCCCGATGCTCAGGTTAATCACATGCAGACGTTTGGCGATGGCGTAGTTTAGGGCGTCCAAAAACCACGAGGTCATGGAGAACTGGGAGTCGGTGAAAACGCGAAAAATGTAGAGCTCGGCGTGCGGCGCCAGCCCAAGAGGGAGACATGAGTCGTCGGAGAAGGACGTCTCCTTGAGGTCGGGGATGGAGGCGGCGATCAAGCCAGAAACGAAGGTACCGTGTCCATGGCCATCCACAGCGCTGGGGTTGGTGTCCTGCGGCGGAAGCAGGGAGGAGGGGGTGAACGAAGTAGAAGGGGTTTAAAACGAGTATTGGGGCGGCTTAACATTGGCGGGGAATGAGGTTGAAGTCAAGGAGGCATAGGGTGGAGGTGAGGGAGCAACTCACCACCTTTGCGTTCTTCAGTCGCCACGTCCAGTTGGTGCGTTCAACAATGTTGGCATTTCTGAAGTGAGAGTAATGGTAGGCGTTCACGAGACCCGTGTCGAAGATCCCCACACGCACCCCGTCTCCACAAAGACCTGTGGACCAAGCCGCTTGGGGCGCGGACAGCAATTTCCATGGCTGCGCGGAAACAAGTGACGTGTAAAATGCCTTGTGACATGCCGGCAAGACGTAATATCTGACATACTTTACCTGATTTTTGGGATTAAGAAGCACAGAGTCGGCAGCCTGATCATTTGGCAGCTTCAAGAGATAACAAACAGAAATGACACTAAGTTGGCCTGCGAAGGCGCGCAGAGCTAACACAACGGAGAACTCACTGGATTCTTCTTCGACTTTTTGCGATTTGGATCTACAAAAATGGCGATTCGTCACACCATTTACATAAGACGTAAACGTAGGTCTAAATAAGATCTAGATTGCAATGCCCAGGTTAAAAAGCATACCTAAACCCATGTTGCACTTAAAATAACACCGACATAAAAAAGCCCAGTTTTTTGACTAACTTAAAATGAATTATTAGAGCAGTACAGCCCTCACATCAGAGTAAATGCAATATCCAGGAGCAGATCTTGCTAATTGCCAGTACCAAAAGTGAGTTGCAAACATAAATTTTAAAATATTTTAGAGTCAGGTGCACAAAAAAGATCATACCTTGACGAAGTTGAGAGACGTGTAGGTGTATCACCTTGTCTTTGTGGACGTTCTTGATGAATTCTGATCGAAGGAGACGGGAGGTAAGAAGGTTAAGATCATTTTGGTTAAGGTCAACAGTCTGAAAGAAAGAGAATAAACCAAAATCCAAGCAGAAATCGAAAAACGCCAAACAGGAAAAACGGAATAAAGCCCGTGATAAAACAAAACTGGTGCGGATTGCAATGTTTGATGAGCCCAGTCAGTTTATTCTTAGCCAAGAAAGTTTGGAAACGCGTATGTTTACGTTGGATGATCGCAGACTTAACATTTAAGTTTTCGAAATTTTGAGGTACAGATACTTTGCAGAGTACGAATGTTGCCTTTAACGTGCATACTGACAGTAAATTAAAAAGATTAAATCACACGAAGTACACTCAAAAAGTAGCATAACAAGGATTTTTACGAAAATAACCTAAAAATATTACTAAATAAACTAGATGGTGGAATTTATTTAGGAATAATATGAATACACTAAACCAATGACGATAATGATACTCTCAGTAGCTTCTTACCTCAATAAGTTCAAAATCAGTTGGAAATATTACTTGGCCGTGCGAATAATTCCGAGGAACGAAAGAAAAGCAAAAGGAAATTCCACTTAAGGCGGTTTTGATAGTCTGCTGCCGAAATTGTTCGGAGAAGTATCCGGAAAAGATGACAATAAATCCTGTGTAATGCATTGAAGCAAATGAGGCAAAAAAAGACGCATACGCTTTAAAAGAACGGTAAGCATATTAACATGCTTTTCGTGAATTTCACTGAGAGCGGAATAACTAATAAATGCGCAAACATATGGTCACACAGCAATATAATCAAATTTAAAATAACTACTTATTACTTTTGTAGACACGTTTATTTTCAGGCTTTCACACATTGACAGCTTTTACGAAAATAACTATACCCAGAGCTTTTATACAGAGACATTAAAAATCAACAAAAAAACATAGCACATACGTTGCGCAAAATATTTTTCAGATACAGAGGAGCTCACAAATGTAAGTGAAAACAAAGTGAAGACCAAACACAAACTCATCAAAAGACGAAAATGAGCATTTGAGTTAATTCATGCTAATTTCAATATGTTTCATACATTTCTGAGGAACTGACCTTGGCCTTCATTAAAATAGGATGTAAAAAATTGATTTTTGAAAGTTTAATAAAGCAAAAGAATGCTCTCAAAAGGTTACATTTTTGTCCCTTATTAGGTAGCATTAGAGGGTTTCGGCGGTTTTTCCAAATGTGCGTATTTTCCAAAGAATTATTTCGAATTTCTCCCCAAACTAAAATTAACATAAAAGTTTGCTGCACCCGTTGCACTTTTAAATTATTATTTCTACACATCCTAAAAATAGCTATAGGACTTCGTTACATAAGAGTTAAATTAAATTGTTTTTTTCTATTATTATAAATTATTGGAAAATCTAAAGCAAATCGAGATTGCACATAATTTTATACTTTATTTTAACGCAAAGTTGTAGTTTTTTGGATAATTTATTACTAACTGTCAACTTTAAACTAAAAATGGTGTATAAGGAAAAAAACAGCCTAACGATTTGTTTGATGTAGCACTGATGGGAAAAATTCAGAATTAGTAAAGTAAATTAACTAATTATTTTTATTGAAGACACCTTAATGCATGTTTCTATTATAGTTGACATTAGAGCTGTTCTTTTCTGCTTATTGGCACACTTTGAAGCCTAAGAAAGACGAAACATAACCCACAAGTCCATTGGAACCTGGTTTGAAGCTGTTCAACTTCTTTCCAACCTTTAATTATCTATTAATTTTCTTTCCAACAAAGCATATAACGCGTAATTTTGAAGTTTAAGCAAAGGAAAATTGCAGATTTATAACCGAATTTTCAAAACTAAATTTTGAAATGCGGAGCAGACTATATTTTCCAGCTTATATTTCCTATTAAATCATTTCAGCGTAGATGATTCAATAAATTTTTCTTTAGTCTGCGTTTGGATCAAAAACGAAACAAATTTTGTAAACGGCAAATATATTCATAATGTGATGTCAAAATTATTTTCAACAACAGTCTAATGCTGAAATTTAGGCCCACGTGTTTATGTCATTTTGTAATTCCGTTCAAATTTTGTGTAGTTTTCCAGCATTTAGACACCAAAGAGTTTTGAAAGCGCAATCACTGAGTTTTATATTTTTCTGTTTCTAAATCAAGCAAAAATTATCCTTTGGTGAGGAAAAAAATAATTTCATGCTTGAGAATTCCATTAATAGATTATTTTTGAGTAATGTTATACATTTTGTTTGACGTGGCTAGTTAGTTTTCTAAACATATTTGCATTGTGGATGCAGCATATGCAACAGTTTTTCTTATACAAAAAAGGTGTCACTACACTTTTCGATCCTAATGTACTTTTCACTGGTTTCATTAATCGGATAAAAATGCTTTAAATTCATCTACACATTAAAATCCCTGAATACCTTTTACATTAGACTGCGGGCATTCTTAATATCACACAGAATATAATAGTGTTATTGAATTTGAAATAATAATGGCTGGTAAATAACCTGATTGATGAATGAGAGTCAATATTTGTTTGACAAGATAAAGCAATGAGGCGTTTTAAAATATTTTTAAGTAGTTAAAAATTTAGCAAAATATATAGTTGTTATTCTGCCTCAAAACTTCGCCTGGCATTTCGAAGCACGCATTTACAATTTTAGATGGTTCGAACTGCTTATCTTTCAAAATATTCAGCGTTTTTGTCATTACGAATAACTTTTGGTTTCTTCGAACGCACACAGTAGCCTAACTTCAGTGTTTATGAACTCTGCTTTCCATAAAACTTTTGTAAAATGCTCATCCACTTTGCTTTTAAAGATTTCATCAAATTTCGCTTCTTTTAATCGAGAAAAAAATTAGGCATGCTAGGCGAAATACCAAATATCAAATCAAAGGAACTCCTTTCATAAAATTACATAAATTCTAACTCATGGCTTAAAGTAGCGCAAAGGTGAAAAGTGCGCTTCTGTTCCGCTATTGGCTAACTTTCGTCAACTTCGTGTTACTTCTGAGTCGTCAGCTTTACGTAATATGTTTTCGTGGATCCTATTATTCTGGCTGAACCTGGCCTATGGGCTCACTTTGGAAGAAGCTTTGAAAGCCCCTGAAAAATATGTCAATCATGATACAAGTATTTTGATCTTAAGTACCTTTCCAAATATTTTATGATCAGGTCCTTGGAACGTTCGACATCATTTTGTACTAACCTTGTTGTGTGTTTACGGAACTCTAACAACATTTGTTTTGACAATTTCAATTATCGCAAAGCTAATGCAGCGCTTTGTTCCCCGGAGGAAGTCGACAAAGTTTAAATATCAAATATACCACCCGTAGGAAATATTTTCGTATACCACTGTCACCCTCACTTTTCTAGACCGAAACTTGAACGGGCACAAGAATTTACGATCGTTGAATCCGGAGATACCAGTACAGCCTCATGCGATTGTAAGGTCAAGACCTAGAACTTTTCCTATGGACACTTCGCTGGCAATAAAATTATTGAGGTAAATTCAATATGTCACTTTAACCGCTGCTACGGTTAATCAGTTTCTCGAATTTGGCATATTTATGCGTTTTTACACCAGGTTTAATTATATCTAAATACTATGTATAATATTAATAGATAAATTCGCATTTATTTATTCCTGTCTCAGCCAGACACTGTATTTTAGTAAATGCGTAGTTTTTTTGATAATTTATCTTATTTCCCTAAAAGTGGTCCCAATTTATTTTTGCAACTTTTAAGGCTTTTAAGTCACTTAGTTACATTCGAGGGCAAAAGATGCCTGCGTTTTCCTTTTTAAAAACCTTAGTTAATTAGTTTAGACCAAATTGTGTGTTTGATTTGATCACTATCATAAATTATGCAACTTTGTAGTTATAATGCTTATCTCAAGTTAATCGAAGTGATTTTATTTGCTTTAGACTGCGATTTCTTACATGGGATAATTGTTTTCACCGGAACCAAATTATGCGTTTTCATTTGGCAATGGTTTGCTGTAAGGCTTAATATTTGTCACAAACGTTTATCTTACGGTTATTGTAAAATACTTGATGTACATATTACAAGAAAAGTTTCATGGAATCTCTCTTTCTTGTCTCCGTCGAATTTGCACTGAAGCATTCAAACCTTCGCAATATTGTCAAATATCGCAATTTTTTTCAAATCGGGGTCAAATATTGACAACTAGGAAATAATTCGCAACTTAATGACTTTAAGCGGCTAACTGCATCTTGATAGTGGATATGATATCTTCTGCATTTTGTCCTGAGCTTGTATCTGACTGGCACAAATGCGCTTTCTGAAATTGACTGTTGACTGAATAGTCAATTTTAGCAGGGTCCAGATACAATAATAATTATTCATGGGCTGTGTACTAATCCAAGATGCTTGGTGTCGACTTAAATCGTATGCGGGAGGATACTGTGAAGGTGAAAATAATAGTTATATTTTGGAATGAAATTCATTATGTTCTTTTTAATTAGAAAATGCATTTGCCACATATTAGTAAGTTTAGAATGTAAATTGTTGGTTGAGATAGACAAATGGAATCCACTGTTCTGTTGTGTTTCTTCGTCTAAAAGCACAATTAAGTCGTTTGGATAATTGATGTGTGATCAGCACTACTAAATTCTCAAAATATGCTGATTTAGGAATTTGAGCGTTGTCTTGAAGGACGTTGACATGGCTGTACTCTTAAGACTAGAATTAGTAATTCACCTTTCCACTCACGTAAGCACCTGCTACGTTTTTGTCGTTGAATATTGTTGGCCAAAAATAACGTCAGAAGTTGGTTTGTATGTTTCAACAAACAACCGAACATGTTGTAGTCTTCTCAAGCAAGAGAATGTGCATTTGCAGATTCATTTGCGACCGAACAGATTGGGCCTTGATGGGTTTTAATCGAAGTCCTTGTCGTGGTCTGTTCAAAACTGTACACACAAGCAGTGCACTTTCGTGTCTTGATAACTGGTGACTCACACGGACATAAGCCCAAATTCTAATAGGAATTCTGAGTATTTTAAATCTTTGGCTTTGCAGAGCACGGTGGCATAATTAGAGCTTTCGATAGCAGTGCAGCGAATTATGCTGATTCACGTCCATTAACCCAATCGTCGCATTCTCGGCCACACTGACCTCCCTGCCATAGCAACCCTGTTAATTTTGCTACGCTGTCTGCCCATGCACCCTTGTTCGTGTGCCTCCCCCATCATACCCATCTCATTCATCTGACCGTTCAGCCTTTTGTACTTTTACGGGTTAACCCAGACAGCCCCATTTAGTCCGACACAATTTATGCTCAGTGGCGCGACCGTCACAGCTAGATTGCGCTCTCTAGCATACATTATTGGCTCTACCACCTCAGGTCTTCTACTTGTCTTCGCGGGTATCTGACAACTGGCGATCTTTTGCCGCGACTTAAATGGCGTGGGAATTGTATGCTCCACACCCTAATAAAATAGCTAACCCTCAAGCCGTTCAGCCCTCCCTCATATCTTGACGTGCGTTCGTGCTTTGTCAACCACGTCCGACTCTTCGCCCAACCTGTATTATACTATTTACAGTCACTTGTATCAGCCTGGCTTCTTTACTCAACTCCCGCCTACCTTAACCAGGTCTCATATCTGACCACAATCACCTCTGGACGATTCCCAATCTCCAGTTCTCTTTTATTCTCCAGATGCTGCCTAATTTCTAGGCGATGACCAACGGTTTTTATTACCTCCCTCCGACGACCAATCACCATCCATCCCTCTTTTCAATTTAATTGGCCCCATTTGAGGTCCCAACTCTCCCTCTGTCCTCAATCCATCCCCATCTCTCGACTCTCATCGGCCTCGATTATTGACGCTTGTCTGGCAGATCGTTTCGATCCATTCTCGCCTTGCTTGTCAACTCTCAACCAGATCGAAGAGCCTCAACCATCTCGCGGCAACGATCAGGCATTACACGTCACCTGCCTTATGTTCAACCCTTTAGGTATCCTACTGAAAGAAACGGTTGCACCGGCAGCAGCAATTCATTTCAAACGTCTTCCTACGAAGCACAATGGCGCCGAGAGTTTTTATTAACCATTCGACAATAACAAATCACATCGTTTCATAATACTCGCATTCTGTCTTTATGAAGACCGCAATTCGACAGCACGAAACTCCACGGTCTATCTTTCAGACATCCTGATGGATGACAAGGTTCCTCAATTCCACTCGTTAAGGTGAAGAACTCTAGTGAATTTCGCTGATTCACGTCCGCTAACCCGGTCGTCGCATTCGTCGCCACACTGACCTGCTTCTCACTGCATTCCTATCGATTATGATAAGCCGTCTGCTACCCATTTCGATCATTCGACCCTTCACCCAGAGTGTATTGATCGACAATCCCATTTAGTCAGGCACTATTTTTTATCCACTGTGGCTCAACTAACATGAATTCCTTTTGGACATTACCTCTGTCAAACCCCTCCTAATGATACATAAATTGGTTGACTTTCAAAACGCAATAAGGCAAACGAGAAAACTCTATTTACTAGTCTGAGAGGCATGTAAGCAAGGCGGACGAAAGATGACGAGTCGGACAGGTAGCAACAAGTAACTGATTCTGTGACGGCGTTCAGTGTGTTTTAATTCTTTTTTCGGAGTCTCTACGACTGAGTTCCTCACACTTACACGTTGTGTCCAAAAATGTCACGTGAGGAGTTTGCATTTTAGACGACAGTCCACTAATTTACGAAATCAGAAGTATTGGCAGTTTAATGAACAAATAACAGATTCAGAACCTAAATGTTAGTTGTCATTCAACAACTTCTGGCTGAAGAAACTATCAGTAACTTGTTTAGTCAATAATGACTTCTGACTGAATGACTAAAAGCTCCAAAATTTAGGAGCCAGTTAAAGGTTAAAATCTTGATCCAGTTTCAACAAAAGATGTTCACAAAAGGGAAGGAATGACTTGACGGTTTGCACTCGGGTCATTTTTTTTGAAAATTGGGGCATTTTGGCAGAAAGAGACTATCGGCCAAAATAATCAAGTGACAAGTTACACAAGCCACGTAAATGCTGGTAAATTAGAAGGCTGCTTATCATGGCATCAAGTGGTGTTCTGACTGTTACTTTTGCAGCTGTCCCCCCAAAATTTAGCCACAATAATTTCTAGCCCAAGTTCCAAAAAACAAGGCAAAGGGCTTCCATGATTTTAAGAAATTGAAAGCCCCCAGTTTTCTCTCATTGTTCCTGTGAATAAAATATTATTTTCACTGAAACGTCAACGTGAGATAGTAGGAAACGCGCAAATCGTTTGATCAATACTACTTAAGAATCAGTTAATTTGACTACTGAGCAAATACGCTAGTGAGACTGCGAAAACTTTATGACAAGTCAAGCTGCCCAGCTACCAGCGAGCTATTGTGGTTTTGTGGTCAAACAGTACGCTAGGTGCGTTTTAGTGTCTAAATCCGACAGTAATAAGTACAGCCTGCATTTGTGAAATTGAATCGTACAGCCTTGATTAGAGTGGTCCGTCGAATTTTAGAAGGTGTATATGAACCCCAAAAGACAGAGTCAAAAAAATACGGATCTTCCCAAGGAAGCGTACAGTTTTTGCCTTCGTACAAGGTACTTGTCATAGCCAGCCAAACTAAATCTCCCTTTCCGAAAGTGGTATATTATGTCTCTAAATGTTAGTAGTTATTGTGATTCCTTGAAGAGGTAACGTTGTTGTCACAAATCAGTCTTGTACACAGAGGGGCAAGTATACTTTAATTGTCTAGAAAATGGTGAAGCGAAATTGGCCAGCAAGATTAGCGCTTGACCACGTGTCTGTTGACGAGTGCAGAAGGACCCGATTTCACTGGTGGACTACAGATTTACCAAATTAATACTTTGACGCAATTTTAAACGTGCATTAGTTCGCTTTACCTATCATTTCTCGAATAATGGGTCAGTCGTGATTGTCTAATAGATCAAAAAGATCAATGACAAACGCGCTATCTAACCGTCTGCCCCCATCAGTGTAAATTTTGAACAGTACGCCGAGATCCACAACACCACTATCCATTAAATCTGTGGCCACCCAAGTATTCTTAGCTTCTCGACATGGTCTTACGTTCCATAACTTGGTGAGGTGGTGGCCCATAACGAAGATTTAGCGATATAAATTTTAATTTTCTGCAAGAAGGCATTACAATCTAAGTCATTCAACTTTTTTTGAGCCTAATTGGATAGAACAATAATTTAATTCATCACAGCAAAAACGTTGTGTGTAAAAATTTACAGTATCCCAACTAATGACTGAATACGTGCAGTTAAGAGTACATTCACTGAACCTAGATATTACAGATAAATATATTGCTGAGTGACAACCTAATATACGGCGGCTCGTGTTTCGAAGATATGCAAGTATTATAAGTATCATACCTTATAAATCCAAGCAGGATAGAGTCCGAATGTTTCAAGAATACTGATTGCCATTTCTTCATTGGTTGACTCATATAAATTACGAGTTTTATATAATAAATAGCACTTTATATATACAAGTCTCTAGCTTATAGTTTATCGAAGTTTCGCGGGGAGAGCATCAGAGTTTGCAAGCGTCTTAACTTAGTGGTGAAGAACTGGAAGATAAAGAAAAATAGTGTCAAACTAACAGATAATTATATCGGTATGGTTTCTTAAAGCCATAGAGGCAAATTAATGACCTACGCTCTTCGTGACCTCACTACCTAATAGATTGTGTTTAGTGGACTCACTGCAGTACGATTGGCTGACTCTCACACGCGGACTTTTCGATTCGTTTCCATCTGTTCTAACGCGCACCAAGCATGGACGAAGAAGGGTCGCGTTATTCGTTGGTTGTTCGAAATTTACAGGTAAAATGCTATTTCCTCTAATTTTTTATGCATTTTTAAATGACTTGGGTGTGCTCGTTCCTATTTTATTGCGATTCGGTTATTCATCTTTTGCGTACGTGGGCTTACATTTTATTCAATCTAACTGTAAAATTGATTGATGTAAACTGGGTTATTTCTCTTTTCTTTTCAGACTTTAATATCCTAAATACACTTGCCAAAGTCTTTCAATACTTGACGTACTTGTTCATTAAATGGTGCCAATTTTATGTAAGAACTAAGTCGTTTTCCTTTAAACATTGTGAACATGTATGTAACACATCTATTTCTATATCATTAGGCCTGGAATTTGGGTTTTGCTTGGAATTAGACGTCCAATTCTATCTTATACTATGTCCAAGTTTTCTTATCAAAAGCTACAACAATATTGTGTGATTGCAGGCAGCCCATCCCGCAATATCCTTGCAGCTAGTTTGTTTGAACACTGGTGTATTTTGCCGTTATAGGAGGTTGTCGGGGATGCGGAGCTGCGGTCCTATCTCAGTGGTGAAAAGGCCATGGAGGTATACTGGGGCACCGCGACTACAGGAAAACCGCACGTCGCCTACTTTGTGCCCATTATAAAGATTGCTGAAATGCTCCACGCTGGTCTCAAGGTGACAATCCTCTTCGCCGATCTGCACGCCTACTTGGACAACATGAAGTCGCCATGGCATATTTTGTACCATCGAGCCACTTATTATGAGACCATCATCAAAGGCATGTTGGAGGCTGTTGGTGTGCGCCTCGACCGACTTCACTTCATCCGCGGTTCAGAATATGAGCTCTCGAGGTTTGTTTTTACCTCCTCATGGTTAAACAGTGCTTTTGATTGGAGCATGTATTTCATACCTCTAAAACAACAGCTTTTCGAATATCCCGGCATTTTTGTTTACTATTTTCGACAGGCTGTTCTTAACCTTTCATCGTTCAAAGTTTACATCCTCCGAGTTGTTTTCATTCCATCAATTTATTATGGAGTATCTAGTCCTTTTTCTCAGTCCCGAGAATTCAAATCGCTTATTGCTTTTTCTATTGTTTTGAGTGATTTGGTAAATCACGCCCACTGTGTAATTTTTTACATCTGCCGGCTGACCCAAGCCCAAGTGAAAAGTTAGGCTCATCCCAGTTCGGGCGGAACTTAATCAGAGTCCATATTTTTTCCCTCTACTGACCACAGAGCCTACAGCGAGGACGTGTACAAGATTTCAGCTGACACCAGCATCCGTGACGCTCGCAAGGCAGGTGCTGAGGTTGTCAAGCAGGTCTCAAACCCTCTCGTGTCCGGTCTCCTCTACCCCTTGTTACAAGCCCTTGACGAGGAGTACCTGCACGTGGACGCTCAGTTCGGTGGTGTTGATCAGCGCAAAATTTTCATGCTTTGTGAACGGGTGAGTGTCTATCCGTGTCGTAGTATTTGAAGTCACTGGTTGCAACTCTGCTTGCTATTCGATTATCAACCGGGTTCTCCGAACGCTAATTTTCATTAGCCTGTGTGACAGTTTTAACTTGTCGCACCACAATGCATCCTCACTCCTAGATTCTGCCCCGCCTTGGCTACAAAAAACGCGTCCACCTGATGAACCCCATGGTGCCCGGTCTAACGGGGGGCAAGATGTCCGCGTCGGAGGCCGACTCAAAGATTGACATGCTCGAGTCCAGTGAAAGCGTGCGCCAGAAACTTGCCAAAGCCTCCTGTCCGCCTGGCCAAACCGCCAGTGACGGCAATGGGGTGTTGGCCTTCGTGAAGTTTGTCATCTTTCCCATGGCCCACCTTTCCGCCTCCTCCACTGGTAAGCTATTTCTCTCTTCTGCTTTCTTCTTTAACATCTCCCGCCACCATCACCACCGAGCCGTAATCCACTCTTCTGCTGTGATTAGTCAAAATTCCAATGAAATTCCTGCATGAGGCGTAGGCAACAAGAAGTTGACCGGAGGGGGGGGCGTGTTGAAGTGAATTTTTTCCGGAGAAGTGATGTTTTACGTCTGTACCTGCGACAAACGCTCACCACATAGTGCACTGTTGGTTTAAAGAAAGGCCTTCCAACGAGACATTGTGTCTCCAGCTTGACAGGCACGAATTTTCGACTTAATCGATTACTCATTTATTGCGATGGGGTCGTGCTCGTGTGACTCGAGTTAAGGTCAACGCAGATCGGGGCGCATCAGTTTAAGTGCTTGTAATGTGCGTTGTTAAGACATTGCAAGCAAGAAATGTTTTTAAAAACACTAATTTTCACCTCACCCAACCCCACCACCATGGTTAACTTCAGGCTTGAAGGTTGGCGATCGCGTCTTCACCACGTACGAGGAGCTTGAAGCGGCCTACGTGGCCGGTGGCGACGCCGGCGTGTCCGCGGACGCGCTGAGGACCTGCGTCTTCGACCACCTCGACTCCCGGATGGAGGTCGTGCGCAGGAAGTTTGCTCTGCCCCAATTCGCCAGCCTCCCGAGCGACGCCTACCCCACCGACGACGACAAGACCCACGTCGAGGGTGAGCGCGCTCTTCTCCTTTCCTTCTTCTTCCTCCTTTTCTTTCTTTCTTTCTCTGTCCACGTTTACATCAACGAACGAAGCCTTGAAATCGTGCAGTAATTTTTAGTGTTACTAGTCGGAAGTCTCCATTGAACACTCGACAAAACCACGCAATATATATATATTATTTGATGTATGACTTAATTTGTGCAGATTTTTCATCAAATTTACTCAATATGAAAAATAGAGAGCAAGGACCTAAATCTTGGAAATCTTGTCCATCGTTTTCCACGTCCTTGCGCCACCTCTCAGGTAACGCACAAACGCCACCGCGAAGGAAACTTGCAGGCTTCGGGGCAATAAAGTCCTAGACGAATTTGCCCACATCGTCCACCGTTGTGAAGTGTCTATTCACCAAGGCATGCTGCATTGACCGGAAGAAGTGGTCGTCGAATGGGGCCAAGTCTAGTGGATATGCCGCGTGTGGGCGAACTTCCCATTCCAAGTTCGAGAGCAACGTGAGGTGGTCGAGTGTTGTCATGCATCAGTATGGCTTCCTTGCCCAGGGGATGACTTTTTTTTCGATTCAAGTTCTTTGCTCAGTTTGTTCACTTGTCGGCTGTAGCGCTGCGTAGTCGCCGTCTGATGACCAGTTTCCAGGAGTTCGTAATAAACTACATGGTTCACGTCCCGCCAGATGCACAGGAGAACCTTCTTCAAGTGGATGTTCTGTTCTTGCGTCGATGTACTGGGTTGCCCTGGATATACCCACGACGTTTTACGTATGGGATTCTCGTAAAAACATACTTTTTATCACCCTTCACAATGCTTCCCAACAAGTCCTTTTTTGTTGCCGGCGAGCAAGCAGTGAAAGGAAAGTGCGTTCATACGTTAGCTTACGTTTTGATCGGTCAACAAATGTGGGACCCAACTTCCAGGTTTGTGAATTCTCATTTGGCGCAAACGCTTGGAAACAGCTGTTTGGGTTGCAAAGCCTAGGCGCATTTACGTTGAGTCTTCATCCAGAAGAGCTTACAATTCCGCATCTTCAAACTTTTGAGGTCGCCCGGGGCACGGCTGATCACGAAAATCGAAATCGTCACTTCTAAAACGTTTGTACCAATAGTTAAACGTTTTATAAGACACAACGTCTGCATCAAAAACACTACAGACTGATTCCCCCTTGCTTTAGGAGCATTTAGTCCTTGTTGGAGTTTGAATACTAGGCCGTGTTTTTAAGAGGTTATGTAACTCACGTAGACTTGTTGTTCGGTGTTCTGAAACCTTGCTTTCGGTCCTTTCAAAGTCTGTCTCACCTAAACTCCCTAAAAGTCTATTTCTACAGCGAATTTTCTCCTAAAGGCAGTTGAGGGTTTTTCGTGTGCTTCTTGACGTCTCATTCAGTTTTGTTGACTTCCGTAGAGTCACGCAGCACCGCCTCGCTCACTGCTGCACACGACGACCGCATGGCCAGCATCATTGCTCGGCTCGCTACGACCGAGCAACACCTGGAGCCCTTTGAAGATGTGCACGCCGTCGCCAGCCTCCTGGCCGGTGTGAACGTCGCCTCGTTGGCCGATCGTCTGACTGCCACCGGGCGAAAGTGCCTCCGCTGCTTGTGGTCCGTCTCGCCCGGCGGACTGCCCCACCTCGGACACACTCTGCCGCTTCGTGTCCTCGCCCGCCTATCTCGCGTTCCTGGAGTTCACGTAAGCACCTTGTTGCAGTTCATATTCAACGACCCAAAGAACCTCTAGAATTCTAGTCACTTTAGGTCCTTTATAGCACGGAGTTAATCGGTGCGACGTGTCCTCTGACTGATTAGATTCCCATGACTAGATAGGTTTTTTTGGGGTGGGGGAAAGCGGTTACCCTACTTGGCAGTTACACTTGATTCGTCGCTGCTTCAGGTGATCATCCTGGTCGACGACATCACAGCCTTCCTCGAGGGCAACTGTTCGTGGGATCTGCGCGAGCCTCGTTGCGTCTTCGTGGAAACCATGCTGCGTGCTGCCTTCAAGTCCTTTGAGGGCAATGACAAAGCCCTCACGGTGTTCCGGGGCCACGAGTACAAATGCGAGGGGTAGGTCACCTCTCGTCACCTCTCAGTACTGCGCATGCCAGTGGACCATTGGATCTACGTCGACAAGCTCCATCTCCCTCGCAGTCTGAGTTGCGGCGTCTTGTGTAACTATTAGCAACCATGTCACGTATTGAAGCAACCTCAGTGGTCTCGACAGTTGGGTTTAATATTAACCGCTTCAGTGAATTATGACACCCTTGTCTGCAGTTGTAATCCACGCTGAATAATCGTCAACCTGCTAGATGTTAAAACCGGTGGATAAGTGTTTGAATGCCAACTTGAGGTCTAAACTTGCCACCGTGAAGGAAAGCCGAACAGCCTTGGGTCTGAGATCGGGCTCCAAAAATCAATACTCGCCTGCCCTTTCAAGATTCAGGATTCCCAAATCGAAGAGAGGAGTTGTGTACGAGGTCAATAGCATCTTTACGCACGTCCGTTTCTTGGTTACTGTGGATTTTTTTTTATAAAAAAATGCTCATTTTTCCAATTTGTAGAGAATTTTGTCCAAATTGAGTCAAAATAATCCACCACAAGTTAAATATGACACGTGACCTTGCTTTTCGCTTCTCGAGGACCTATTTTTTGTGGTTATTCTTTTATCAGGACGTACATGCTGGATCTGTATCGATTGGTGAGCTACGTACCGGAACGCGACGCGGTCCTCTGCAGCGGAATGTCCCCCGCGGCTCTCCAGGCGTCCGACGACTCCGAGGGCCCCGGCGTCGGTCTCAATCTCTCCTCCCTCCTTCTCCCCTGCACATCCCTCCTTGACACCTACCACCTCGGGGCCGACCTGCGTCTCGCCAGTCCGCACAAAACCCAATGGCACCTGACATTCGCTAGACAGGTTCGTGGAAGGGTCTGTGCCGAAGCATCCACGCCCCGACACCAGTTGCAATCGGGCTTTTTAGCTTCGTGTAACACATTTCTCAAAATCGGGGGTTTTGTTGGATTTTGACTTGCCTATTTCACCCTTCAGTTCCTTCCACTCTTCGATGCCCACTGCAAACTTCCTGTTTTCGCCACCCACCCGATGCTCCCGTGTTTGTCTGCCTCGGTGGAGGGTGACGCCTCCGCGTTCATGACGTCCTTCGTCCCGACCCTGCGCGATCCCCGCGTCGCTCATTCGGTCTCCGCGCAGGCCGTGAGCAAGGCGGCGGCTGACCGGTGCCTGCCCCTGGTCGAACCCCCTCCCCCTGGTGTGTCTGCCGTCTCTCTCTTACCGGGACTCAAAAAACGCCTCAAACAGAGCTTCTGTGAGCCTGGAAACGTGCTCACCAACCCCCTGCTCGAGATCTTCAAGTTGGTTGTCCTTCCCGAGCTGAAGCCCCAAGGCAAGACGTCCTGATGCGTTTTCCCTGTTATCGCACACTACAGTGTACTTACAACTGTAGTAGTTTGCTTAGTCCTAACTTTCAACTCTCCAGTTAACAGCCCTTAATCCGAGGAGAGAGGCCAGAGAGGCGACAGCGGATGACAAGCGTCTGATGACAGTAACCAATGAAATAGTGATGAGTTATTGACATTGTGAGGTCAGTAAACAGGCTTTACTCACGTGCGATCGCTGACAGTCTGGAATTGGTTATTGCCCTGGTATCAGGGGTTATTTTCTTTTCCTCACCTAGACCAATGGCAGCGCTTAAACGCATTTCTTACTATTGCGTCAGCTCAAGCCAATGGCGTTGAAGCGTTTCCATTGAGCGCCGAAACGTGTGCCCCACACGCTCAGTCTTGCAACTTGCCAGATTTTCGGCTAGGATGTCATAACCCTGCGTGCTTCCACTGGTAACTCTACCTCACCACACAATTGTTGTCGCTCGAGCGAATTGTGTCATGGCGCCTCGTCTTACACACGCGGCACGTCTCTGTCAAAATTGTTCCTGTGTGCTGGTAGTGGTGACAGTCTGTTGCTGCTTCAGCTGTCCTCAATTACCTTATTGCTCACATTGAAGACAAAATTCTTGAATGATTTGGGTACCCTTGATGTGGCTTCTACTGAATGATGTACCTACTCATATTTATATCCTTGTTGTGGGCCTCACCGTGTGATCTGGAACCACGCCGGGGCCACGGAACTAACCCTAGCCCCATTACGCTTGCCTGATGCCCTCGGTTAAGGAAAAGACTGGAGAGGACGGGACACAACCGTTTACTTCAGAGGTCAGCCACGTTGGTGTCGTGTGTGGGTTTGCGCGCTTGTTTTTATACCTCGGATGTGTGAGGATAATCCAAGATAGATAGGGGGAAGTTGAGGATTCGCGCGGCTGGCGCCATGCTGCGAAAAAGGGGAACCCTGTGTCGGAGGCGGAGCGATCGGATTAAGGGGTGTGAATAGACACGATTCACAACATCATGTCTTGAACGGACCATTGTAAGCTATGGAGACTTTAGAGTTGAACAAAACCTGTGCAACTTCGACTTTTTTGTCGTGGATCAGTAATGTCGTCACCATTAATTACCGAACAGTTTCCGTGGTTCCTCGTCGATTACAAACTGCTCACCCTCTCTCTCTTTTTCGCATAGAAAACCTTGTTCTGCCCCGATCAGATCAGCACGGTGGACCAATCACACTCACTCCAGCTGAGTACTCCGGTGCAGGCAGGTTGGATGACATGTTTGCCAACGAGCAGTGGCACCCAGGCGACCTCAAAACCGCCCTCGAACAGGCCCTGTCCAGTGGACTGCAACAACGCCTTTCTGCCCACTCGCCGTCTCCCTGCGAGTTGGGCGACCTCCTGGATGCGGCCTTCCCCGTTCCTGGTAAAAAGAAGGACAAACACCCCCAGGGGAGCAAGCAGGGTAAGTGTTACGTTTGCTCGTAACAATAGAGAAAACCACTCAAATAAAGGTACTAGATGCCTTGTCTGACACTAGAACCGACCTTCTCACGCTAATTCAAGAACAAGACCAGAGCTCGTGTAGAGAGCTTCATTCACGTCAGCCACGTGCAACGTGGAGTGTCGAAAGTGAAAATAATTCAAGTCAGGGTTGACCTTGACTTGATAAAAGGCGTAATAAAACGCATGCTAGTGAATTAGTGTAAATTGTGCCAAAAACCAACGACGAGCAATCCTGGGGAATCGTGGATCCCCAACAGTAAGGCTGTGGTACTCATTTGACGTCATCACTAGAGTTGGTAGTGGTGATAGTACTTCATTTTTTTGCAATTTGTTCCCGTCCCCGGTCACTTAAACGTCGAAGTCATTCCATCCGGCCTTGTGTGGGGAACCGTTATCGATCTGCGTGAGTAACTGTGATGAATTTGCGCTCCCTCTTAATCTGCAGCTGCCTTTGGCCGGTCAGAATGTCGAAACTTTCCCAGCCATCTTAAATTCGCGCGTTATCAGCGCAAGAACAGAGTTTTTTGACCTCTACTTATGTCTTTTGCAGGTGGAAAGTCACCGCGTTCCTCGAAAGCGGATGAATTTGATCCCAGTTTGCTGGAAGTACAAGTCGGCAAGATCGTTCACGTTCAACCTGTGAGTCACATGAACGCTCATTCCCTTATTCGTGACAATGAACCAATCTAACCAAGTATCAATGTTCTTAATTCGTAGGTGATGCCACCTTAGAAATTCACTCCTCGTAAATGACCAAATTATCACCCCAAATATGCTTTTGAGACCATTTCCTGGCAATCACCCCATTTTTTGTATTCTTTTGTTTACCAAAGCACCCAATATCTGCCAATCTGAACGTCTGCCGAGTGTCATTTGGGGACCAGGAGCGCTGCTCTGTGATTGGCTTGCCAGCAAGTGCGCTGCACGATAAGAACGCCGTCTTCCTAACCAACCTCAAAGTCTGTGAAGTCGAAGGTGTCCGTTCTGAGGTACGTTGCCCCATCTCTTCTGTCACTGGCCGCGATCTCGGTCGAAATTTGTCCGTAGCAAAACAAGCACGAAACGCAGATCCCTTGTCTAACACCAGTTCCGCCTTCTGAGTTCGTGAAACAACGGAGCCTCGTGCAGAGAGCCTTTGCTGTTCGAACCAATGGCTGGACAGCACGTCAGGTTGTTGTCTTGCGTGAACTTGGCTGGTGGATTAAGTAGGATTTTAGAATACCCGAGTCCCAGAATGAAGAATACTGATACAACAGACAAAGCTTTGTTGACCAATCACAAGCCAGAACCACACGTCAGGGGCCGTACATCCGAGTCCGCCACGCTGGCTTCGCCGCTCATTATATACTGCACCTCATTCGTGTCCTCTAGTTGGCTGCCTATCTTCCTCGTATGCCGTTGGAACGCAGAAAGGCAGAAGATTGGCTGAGGCCAGCGTGGTCCAATATGTCTGCGCCCCAATACGTCGCTACACTACAGCATTAACACAGTGTGAATTGGATGAAATGTCGCATTGTGCGTAAACACAGTCGATATTGACACCGATCTGACATACTTATATTTAAAGCCTGTTCATTTATGCGCTATTGTGGGTAACAATGCTACAGCACAGTTATTGATTCACATTTTAGCACATCTAACACATTATTGGTAAATGGGGGCAATATTAATCGTTATTTTGTTTTGCAGCTACAACCAGCTCTTTTGAAATGCGTTGTGATAATTATGTAATCTACAGAAGCCTTGGTGCATACTGTGCACAGATTTTGGAATTGGTTGCTTCTTTCTTTCTGCATGACAGCTTGAACACTTCCCAGCTACCAGATGATTATTCATGACAGGCTCTTAATCCCACAAGTTGGACCCTTGCATTGACTTCCATTGTATTGTTTTCCTTTTCAGGTGAAATTAGTCTGTGTGGCGTCATTAGCTGGTGGGAACGACGAACCACTCTTGTGCGAGAATCACACCGCCGGCACCCGCCTTCGCTTCCGCCTGACGTCGGGCAAAAGTGGCAGGGGTCATGACGCCGACAAGACAACGATCGTTGACCCCACAAATCACCCGGGGTGGCGCTCCTTCTTTGCTGATCTCATTTTCTGCCCCGAAGATGGTGGCGCCCTTGTTTGGAAAAATAACTGGCGATTGTCTCTGGCCTGAGTATACCGTTTTCAGGGTTTATAAATATTTATCTTAATGAAGGCAAAAACGGACTTTTGTATTGGGCGCTTTCTGAGGAAAGAGTTATCAATCTTTGAGTGTTATTTCGCTCGGCAAATTTGACAATTTGATGTGCGTGTGAACATTCGACGGCGTCTGTGTCCCATGGGGTTCAAGGGAATTCAAACGTCACAGGAAAATTTCTCGTGAACAGAGTATAAAAGTAGCTGTTTGAATTAGAAGTCACATTAACCAGTAGGGGATATCACACAAGCTATCTTTTTTCTAATAAAACCAATTTCCTGGAGCAAATGTTCACAATCATTAGTCATTATCCGTGGTTTGTGAATGTCAGCAAATATTTTGTTTTACATCAGCGAACGATTGTCTTTTTGTTCGAGTGATTCTGCGCTGCCAAGTCATAAACCTTACGAAATTACGACCGTTCACGCAATGTGATTCTGGGTAATACTTGGATTGGCTTTAGTATTAATTAAAATAATTTGAGCACTGTTTTGAAGTGGGTGTTTGTCATCTTGGTTGCCTTAAAAGAATGAAAAAATAGACCGAAACTTGATGGAGGAATGCTTAATTAGCAATATATATTTTACGTACTTAAATCGTGGATGTATAGGAATTATATATTTGTTGACCTTACTGTTAATTATGCCCCATCAAGTTCGTTCAGTCTGCCACAATGTATATTTCTCACAAAATGCCTCAACTTACTCAGGTTATCCCGAAATGTCATTACGTCAGATAACATTCATGTAAGCCTCGATGTTAGCATATTAATGACACGCTGTTTCACAAATCTGCGCTATAAATACATTTGCTCTTATAAAACCCTAAAAAATGTAAATTTATGGAGAGTGAAACGAGGAAAGTTCAGCTGTCCGAGATATGCTGTGACGGTAATGGCTAAGTCCCAGAAGACCCGATTGTCATATTTAAAAAGGCAAACCATGTTGTGTTCGTTTACACTAACGCCATGTCCATGTTGGCTTCAAATCAACCCCTTACTGTAAACGCTCCTTGATATACATAATTTCGGTTGTTTGCTTTAAGAAACTCATTGTAAATGAAGATGTTTGAATGTGAATTTTAAAGTCCCGGTTAATTGAATTCGTGTTTTCATTTCTGCGATGATTTGCAACGAGGAATATATGTAAGCCTTATGTATAAATTCGGCATTTTCATATAGTTCTACAGCCTTGGATATACCTGTGTGTTATGCACAAAATGAACTGGTGATATCATCCGCTGACGACGTCGTTTCCTACGAGTATTCAGAAGATGGACATTTGTGGCTCAAAACAATCAAGCTTGAAAAATGCAATCGTAGTGAATTGGGGGGTGTTCTTACATTTCTCAAAAATCTTCAAAGTATATCACCTTATCGGATTTTGTCGGACAGTTCTGATCGGACTCTTAAGACAACTGTCTATCATGGCTGTCATCTTCCTTTGTATATTTCGCTCGATGGGACAGACTTAAGGCTCTCATACCCCATTTGTAAGAGTGGTTGCGTGCAAGAACTTCTTAAGCCATATTTTGCTGATGGTGGACTACCTGAGAACCTAGTTGCAGCCATTTTTTCCCGAGCTGTTAAATCTGTTTGTGAGCTTCATAAAGCCGGCTGGATACACCGTGCCCTGTGCTCAAGACATTTGTTGCTGAACCAATTAGCACAGGATAAGGATTCCTTGGATGTATCACTCTGCGGTCTTGGAAGTATCGCGCATGTGAAACCCAACGGTAGCTGTTTGAACCGCACCGGTTTACCCGTGATCGATGCGGGTTGGAGGGGGTGGCACTACCAAAACCTCCTAGATACTGTTTATAGCACCCATCCAGTCGCGTGGTACAGTCCCGAAATGATAGCACAAGACTTCCAAGGTTACGGCGAACCGTCAGACATTTACAGCCTTGGGTTGACCCTTGGGGAGATGTTTACCGGAATTCCGCCATTTGTTGGTACAATCACACCGTCGTTAATATTTCTTAAGAAACTTACGCTCAAAGAACCACTTTCTCTACCCAGTGTGAGTTTAACTTACGTTGTTTAGTCTTTCATTGAGAGTAGTGTAACGGAGGTACCGATGATCAGGTCTTCAGTCTCAGCAGTTAAATGCCGAGACTAAACAACCGCACTTAAACCCCTTTTTTCGCACCTTTACCTCAAATATGTTGGCTAGCGGTCCACAAACATTTGATCTCCAGGATGTTTGCTGAATATTTGGGCCTCTGTAGTTGCCCACCGATCCCAATAACTCCAGAAATGACGATGATGATGGTGATGATCGTTCTCTTGCAGCCACCCAACACGACAGCGAGCGCTGAAATGGTCTCGGTTTTCAAGCAATGCACACACTTCGACCCGGACCGTCGGCCCACTGCAGACGAACTGCTTCAATTGCCTTGGATCCAAAAGGGTCTGTCAACCCCACTGACTGAAGCAATGCTGGAGCCCTTCAGACGCTGATTTCCGTTATAGCCGCCGTAGGCTAGTGTACATATTAATTTACCAAGTATCGCCAATCTCTATTTTGATTTTCTACTTAGAACTAATAAAACACTTGCAGTTTGGCCCTCGCGGTCGGCTTGATCGAGTATAACAAAATCTTATTACCTCCCAAAATACAGTTGGTTGATCTAGAATACAACCGGAACAAGTTTATTGAGAAAGCGGTTCAAAAAATTCCGAGAGCAGGTAGTCCTAAAGTGGAAAAAATCATTTGAGGAACTTATTTTTGCGTATTTCATGCATTAAATTAAGTGCACTTACTTTAAAATTTGTCGAGCCGACACAGTGGGCTGTCGTAGACCATGCGGAGATCAATCTTGGGGCCCATGAGGTCACGAATGTTTGTGTAGCCGTATCGGATCATTGTCGGCCTAAAAAGACGAAGAGGAACGACAATAACCGCAAAGTCCGGAAGTATGATCAAGGACACCGTCGCCACGCGTACCGTTCGAGAGAGAGACCCCAAGCGATGACACGGACCCCCCCTGGAAGACCCATTGGGCGGAGCATTTCCGGACGAAAGATACCTGAGTTGCCAACTTCAACCCACTTGCCTAAACCTACACAAAAGAAGAACATGTCGAAATCCAGTAATGTCGGTCCACGTTTTTGGTCAAGTGGATACGCTACAGCACACCAATTGTGGCAGCCCCAAGCACCGACCAAAGTCAGAAATGGTAAGAATACCTTTTTTAATGAACACCAAGCCTTGAACAGTAAGAGGATCGAACACAGGCACACAAGAGTCAAGAAGTGCTAACCGAGTACACTTACCAGGATGGAAGCTGAAGATTTCCATACTGGGCTCGGTGTAGGGATTATAAGCAGGCTTGAAACGCAGTTGTGTGAGACCGAGGCGATTAAAGAAAGCACGGATGACGGCCTTGAGATTACCCAAACACAGCCCATAGTCTGCCACGACACCTTCTACCTGATGAAACTCAGCCAGGTGGGTTGCATCAAGTGTTTCGTTTCGAAACACACGATCAATACTGAAGTACCGTTGGGGCGTGAATTTTTCCTAAGTAGAATAGGAAGAAGATAATCCTATTTAGGTTTTGAGCCACTTTAGACTACCTAAACTTAAAAGTGGTGTGGCATGACAACATACTGTTTTTCACCACGGCCTGCCACACCATTAAAAACGACAATACAGCATGCAGAGAGGAGTTCATAAGCTAGGTAAGGTAAAGTGCCAACCTACCTGCTGAGCGAGTTTGTAGAGCATGCGGGCACTGACAGCAGTGGTGTGAGTACGTAGGACGTTTTTAGAGGCCTCTGAAAGTTGCCATTTATAGCCGTAGCCCGCCGAACCGAATCCACCAGTTTCATGCGTCGTCTTTACCTTTTCGATGTACTCAATGGGATAATGAGCCCTTAGATCGGTTGTAGCAGGGTCTACAAAACAGTTTAAAATCTATACCATCAACCCGCAACGATACCAAGAAGATCGCCAAGGCGAACGGGCTAAGAGTGGCACATATAAATTTATGCAATTTTTTCTTGAGACCCTGGAATTAGCAGAAAGTATTACTCAAACAAGAAACGAACCCGATAAAAAGAAGGTGTCATGAGCGTCACGAGCGGGATGTTGCTGCGGTTGGAAGAGACTATCAAAGTTCCAGAAGCTACACTCAACGTAGTTATTAGTCGGCATTTCTGAAAAACTAAACAAAAACATTAAGTAATGTGACCACGACATAAACTATCACATGACGTGGTCATTTGCATTTACCCCATATCCATCAATATCCGACGGAACTCGGAACGAACACGCAGCAACGGATGCAAGTGGCCTCCTTCTGGTGGGGCGCCAAGAGCTTTGAAGTTGTACTTTTTGAACTTGTACTCTTGCCATGAACCACTGTAAACGATACAACATCGATCAAAACCACTTTTGTGGCGGAACCACATGGAGAAAATAGATGAAGAAGCCTCACGTTGAAATCATATCCGCTGTCAAATCAGTTTCTTCTTTGGCACGGTGCGTTGTGAAGTGCGGCCCACGTTCCAGGGTATACGCCGTGAGTTTTCTGGAAATACACAAAGTTGGAAACAGGAAGCGTACTTTTCTACAACAAGTTTGCGTTTTTTGAGGTCATTCTTTTCGCTTATACTACAGTCCTGAAGTTTTGCAAGGCACGCTTGGATATCGTCGCCAGATGGCTGACCCTATGGATCGGATAATGGAATAAAACAACAGACGCACACATACCAATTTTTTGACAAGTTGAACATTCGCATCGTTCTTTGATACAGAAATCCACTTAGCGGCCAGCGCCTTGCTTACCCCAACCTTTGCATATTTCGACACTTTCTAATCAACACTGTGCGGAAGTTAGCGCAACGTACCATCAACTCAGGCATAGGGATACCCTCATCAGGTACTGCAGCATAAACAACAAACTCGTGACTGCCATGCTCAAGTACGTACTTTCCCTCATCTGTAAGCGTAAAGTGCGTTTGTACAACAGGTTCAGCTTTCACTAACTAAGTAAAATATGACAACTGGAAAGTAGATCATACGCCATCAGACTGCTCTAGACTTTTAATGGCACCAACAACAACCTGGTGGTCAAGTTTTAACGATTCTGCAAGCTGTAATGAGTCGAGCGGCGATTCAGAGGCCAGGAGCTCTAGTAATTTCTCAGGTAGATTCATTGGTCGAATTATAATACGACCGAGGCATAAAACGAGACACCGGAGACCAAAAACGTGCCTAGAAAAATAATGGTTAAAACAATTTAAGCATGTAAAATGTGATGTTTACTATAAATCACATTTTTACATTATAAAAAACATTAAAAATGCAATATTTAAATTAAGTAACAGTTATACTAATCTTTTGTGGAACGGACTTCGAGTTCAAAATCAAAGATGATTAACACAACCAAATTCAGTGCGAACTGGACTGCTTTTAAAATTACTTGAGTAACGACTCGAAGTAAAAAACTCGAGTCCTTATTCCCGATACAGATCATGCAAACGTTATATTTGTAAGTAATCCAAATGCACTCTTCTAGTTTAATTTGATCGCTGCTTTAAATAAAATTTATATTCGTCTGATATCCTTATTCCTCACTAAAACTCTCCTTTTTAGCTGCCATCCGAAACTCTAGGTATTTTTTAATGACGAAAAGACTGAAATCAGCTTGAATGTGCCAGTAGATGTATTAAAAAAACAGAATTAAAGTAAATGAGCGACAGGAAATAACTGCAGCTTTCAAGTGGGATTAGCAATTATGCTAATAGCTTAGTGAAATTTCAGCATACTTCAAATTTGTAAGTCCTAAATTCCTGGAAAATTTCATTTTTGACTGATTATTTTGTGAAGAAGATAAGTTTGGATACAATAATTTCCTTTCTTGTTCAAAATTTCTGATATAATATTATGACAATTATTCGAAGAAGTGGTTTTAAGCAATAGTTTTAGTGACACTTTAAGGCAGCAATATTCTTAGTAAATTTGTCAACATCACTAAATCATTTTAAAACAACCCTAGCATAAATATCTAATTAATATGTGTCCAGCCAGTCGTTCGCCAAATCTCTGGAGAAAAACACTTAGCTTACCGAATTCACCATTCATTTTAGATTTAAGCTTTTTATTATCCATTTCATTTTGTCTAAAATTTCAAAATAGTTCTGTATTTTTGTTCATCAAACTGTGATTGTGATTCAAAGCACCATCACTTGCATTCATTTATGTGGCTTGACTTAAACGAGCCTGACGTTACCGATTAAATAATCACATAAAGTGCTACTGTTTGATGACATCCATAAATGGACAGAATAAGATTATCAGACTTGCTCATTGTTCGCTCTTTTATCAAACTCAGCAATGCACGGACAGGTACGAATGTCAGTTGTTTTATTAGTGTACTTTCTTTTTAAATTGACGCTTTTCGTTGCATTTCAGAGCTTTCATCGTTAACCACAGGTCCCATTCACAGGCTTGTAAATAACAGCAACTAGGAAAAATCGCTGGTCGACTTCTTTTCACCATGCATTTCGTCCTTCAGTTAAGTGTGTGAGGTAGCCAGGCTGTGTTTCAATTTATTTGCTCATTCAGACCGTGCACAAACGCGTTTCTACTGACCCAAAACATGACAACAATTTAATTTTTTTACTCAACAACCTCCTGAAGAAAATATTTAGTTGTCCCTCGCACAAATTTTTCGCAATTATGTATTTTAGCAATCGTCTTTCACAAGCAGGTTTGATTTGCACACTTTTAGTCAAAACTCTAAAGTTTCACTATCAGGTAAAGTGAGATCAGTGTGTAAATATTTGTGTGTGTTTGTATTTGAAGGGAATTCGTAATCCTTTCTGCAAATGTGAATTCTAGTAAGTGAACACACCCGTAGTTTTCATACCGCCATTGGGTTCCCTTCGATGAAAAAAGAACTACCATTTCAACCGTCCGGACATCGGACCACTAACGGCATCATGTAGCCACGTTCTCATACTGATTATCAAATTAATTCAGGGTTCTACCACTTTATCGCGCATGTTTCTGACCAATCAAAAAATTGTTGGAATGTGGTACCTTGAAGGCAACTCTTGTGAAATCAGACAAAACAAATTCATTCACTGCTGGCGCTTGTTTGTTGAAAAAGAAATGGACCAATGTAGGATTGACATTTTGGCAGCATGTGAGAGGCCGCGAGGATCCTTTGCTCCCCTTCAATCACACGGATCTTTATCTTGGGTTGCTTTCACACCTAAGTCTTGATGTTGGCGCATGTATGGCTCACACATCTGAGGTATAAATACACACCCTCAAACCCCACACACGGCACAACGACACTAGCGTGGTGAAGCTCTAAAGTAAACGGTTGTGCCCACGTCCTCCTCAGCCTTTTTCTTCATCCTGGGAATCACTGAAGCGTAATCGAGCCAGGGTTAATTCAGTGGCCCAGGCGTGGTTCAAGACTACGTGCTGAGACCCACATCCTGACACTTTGTCTACGGAGTCTGTTTTGAATCGAATTAATCCGTGAAGACGACTATACCTGTTAAATAAAGCGTGTTACGACCAAGAAAACATGGCTTGAACACCAATGAAACTTTCTGAAATGATAAATTCAGCATTAATTTGCCAGTGCAACTGTTATTAAAAAACACGTGAAAACATTTTGCTACAAGTGCAACGATGACCAAGGTGACATTGTATCAGGAGATATCACAAGTTAGTTTTGAACGCAGTGATCAGTGGCAGTAGCAGGTATTAGCCAAGTCAAGGTACATCTAAGTTGCACGCATTAAATGAATTTACATAGAACTTATTGAGTAAAATACAGATTGCTCCTCTCTCCGACAGTGGATGTAATAGAAAATAATCGGAATATTTAGCATCGAGACATTTCAGATGGTTTTTTGCATGTGGAAAGAGGTTGAGGTTGTGGGATCGGGCACCTGGAAAATAGAGTGATTTCCAGCTGAGGTAATCGCGCAGAAATCGATTGACGTGGGCCCAAGGCCACACGCACACACCCCGCACGTGTTCATTCATGCTTGTGGAACTGAAGAGCCCAAAATGCCTGGCAAACACGTCCGCCGTCCCAGATCAAAACCGCCGCCACTGATAATGAGGTACATTCCACCGTCGGAGGCCCTGCTGGACCACACACCCACAGCCCCCACCGCCGATGATCCGCACCAGCGCGTCATCGGAAAGATTGACAGGTCAGCGCTTACACTGTACCTGCAGATCCTCGCCAGCAGTGACTACCTCATGCCAAATGCCGCCTCTGACACGGGTCACCCACCTCAGGACAGCATCACGAAAAGCCCTGGGTCGAAACCTGCCAGAACCAGGATGCTGGGCGACAGGATGCGACTGACAGGTAAACGACAAACCATCGAGTATTTCGACGGGCCTGGGCACGATGAGTCGAGGCTCTCGGAGGAGGTCTGTTTCAATCGAGCTCTAGCCAATGGGGTGTCGGAAGTTGTGCGCGACGCACTGCTTAAACGAGAGCTCTCATTGGCTGATTTTCGGCCTCTCAAGGCACCCTTTGTGCCCAACATCCTGAAGGCGCTGGTCAACTTCATTGAGGCCGACTGCAGAAAGCTGGGCTGGGGTAGTGTCTTCACCTCCCACCCTCATCTTCGTGAGACTGCTGAGTTGCACGCGTGTCTCCTGATTCAGAACTGGAACCATCGCCATCACGCCAAGCGGCAGATCGCTGCTCTTTCGTTGCCAATGAAAGTCGCCACCCTGCGAACTCTTCTCGGCGGTTTTAAGCAAAAACCGCTGCATTTCAACAAAAAGGTTCTCCAAGAGGTGATTAAACGGCCCCTGTTTGACCAGTTCCTGAGGCCGAACCCTGACATCAAGTCGCTGGTTCGACACACAGCTCTACCCTGCAACAGAACAACAATGGACACTCTGGCCTTCATGATGTTTCACCTACAGCACGCTTGGGAGTGTGGAAACAATCCAATAGTGGCAAAGATTAAACTAGCAAAGCTTTATGGCCCCCTTTTGGTTAGTTTTTCTGAACGACCGGTAATTATCGATCAAGATCCTACAGACTACAAAACGGAAGAAGCAGCGATTCTAGAGGTCGTGTTGGAGGTCTGTAACAAGCAATTCTGGGATAACTTGAGCATGCTCAAGATGCACCTGGCCTTCGTTTCACCGACGACTCCAGAGGACGGTCGACCAGATGCAGTTAAGGGCGGCCAGACTCATGAAAAATACCACGGTTTGGATACGTCCGAAGGGGTCTGCACAAAGACACCCAGCGAAGCCTCGGATTACGAGAACGAGGCGTGGTTCTCCTACCTCTTCCCACTGACCCTCATCAAACCACCACCGCCACCACCAAAAACACCTCCAGTTGTGTTAGTTCCGTGTTCTTATCATCTGTGGTAGTGCGGGGTCTATATTTTGAAGACTTGAACGCAGGCACTAGCCTAATTGGCCCACTAATTCGAGGCACCTTATTGGTCACTTTATGTAATCCCTGCACATGTTGTCTATATGGTTGACGCTGATGCACTGTAAGATAAATGTCAAGGTCAAAAGTGTGTGTGTGTGCCGTTTTACAGTGTGAATACTGGTGTACTTTGCTTGTATTGTAGAATGCCCTGGGGAAACAGCATCTTTGCCGACTGTCGGGTTCTGCCGAAACCGATTTTGGAGCGTGAAGAGACAGTGGAAGAGCGAATGCAGCGCTACATGAAAATGATTGGTTTGTACATGAAGGGCACCATGAAGGACTGGAGGCCACCCCCTCAACAGGACCTCCTCGTCGACGAACACCACCCCAAGCGACTCAACAACCTCGACGTGAGGAACATCTACTGCAGGAAGGAGCTGCGCTCTACCCCGGCCATCCTCCACGACGTGCTGTACATGTCGCGGGTGCAAATACCAGTCAACGCGAGGACAAAATTCTACCAATCGATTCCGGGCAAGGTTGGAAGCCTCCAAATGCTCTGCTCCTTGAAGAAAAGCAAGCCGATGGAGATCGACAACGACGACAGCGTTGTTAGCGAGAACATCGAGTCTCTTCATAAAACGAGCGCGGTATCTAACCCAAACGCTCCTCCTGTATAACACTGTCATCCTTCGTTGGGCTGGCTGATATGCCCTTATTTGTGAAAGAGCAGGCTTGGTACATGTGCTTTCTTAGTCTCTGTTTGTGTACCTAGAAAGAATTTGGAGACGTCTGGAAAGACATTTTTGTACCAACCTCTGGAGCATTTCTTTTCGAGTTAAAAACCATTTTACTCGACGTGCGATTTCCAAACAAATTTCTAAAATCTGGTGGTCAGATAACCTGGGTGGGAAACTAAGGAGGCGAAAGCATCTTGACAAGTGCAAATTTTCGCCCAAAGATGAAGCTTATATTCTCAGGACCTTCAGCACATGTTCATAGAGCGTGTGAGCAGTTACCCAATTGTATTCCCCAGCGTGGAACATTAATAATAATGTTTTATTGCTTTGTGGGAGGCATTGGAAATGATTTCTTTCAAAGTGACATGAGACATGTTTAGTGATTTCCTCATGTTCGTCAGCGTAGGCTATGTAAGTGGGCGTTTGTGACTGGTTATTCACAACCACCACCACGACCACCACCACCACCACCACCGCCAGAGTCCTGTCTACCTTTTTGTCGACTTTTTATGTCTACTTTGATGACTTTCAGTAGTTGGCTTTCACCAAGCATACGTCTGGCAAAGCCACACATTTTACGCCAAAAAAACACCGAACGTCCACCACGTCAAGGGAACTTGCAGTTTTCACGACTCAACTCCACCTTGGGCCGTTCATTTCCTGCGTTAAAGGCCACCTCAATCATGATTTTAACTATTGTTCGCTCAGTGGTGCCGGATAACGATCGAAATCAGCTCATACTGTCACAGTTCCACGACTCCATTTCAACAATCCGTTTATTTGCCAAAGCAATCGTAAAAGAGAAGAAAGGACGTATTTCTGCATCATGCAATCACAGTTAAAAACGTCTACAATTCTTGAGTTACCTCACCAATTAAGTGTTCCTGGTTAGACTCAGTGTCGGGCGAGGTGTGATCTGGAGGGGGCATTGTCTGAGGAGCAAATGTAGATACAACGGATCGACTGCGTCCGTGCTGTTCCGATGGCCTGCCAGTCTCCGACACGACAACCGGCTTGAAAGTGTCCGCCGCGTTTCGCTGGAGCAGGGGGCTTTGGAGGCTGCTGTGGGCAGAGTGGTGGTTTCTGTCTGGGCCACCGAACGTCGTCACCGTCGTCTGTGGGAAGTTGTACTCCGATTTCACCTACGCAGTCAAAAAAACGGCTATTGCTGTGCTCCAATCTCAGCACCCCCTGTAATGGGCTTTTTATGACTACTCAAAACCGGTCTTAGTCTCAGCTACAATCGTTTATAATGACAGTGTGTCGCAGTCAAATCCACGTCAGCGCCAGGCATAACTAGGGTCGTCATCCCAGTTGAAGTGTGCCAACATTTTTGTCTCAAATAGACTGGTATCTGTGAGTCCCTTGTGAATTTTGGCTGTCTTCACAACCATACCACGTGTAAAGAAGCTAGGGTTCCAACCTAGACTTGCTGTGAATCGTCACCTTAGTGCTACGAAAGTTCATCCTGGATTATCAGTACACCTTAGTCTTGATGTCAGCATATGCCCGATTACACATGCGGTTTCACACGTTTGTGCTACAAAAACACACACTCGCAGACGTCACACGACCTGATCGAGATCTCTATTAAACGGCTGTCTTGGTTACTTCGTGCTGTACCTTGCCGCAACAGATGCTTTGGGTCCAAAGAGGGTGAAATTTCTTTGTGCTCTTAGTGAGGTACTTGTGTTTGTGGTGGGTGGATTTTTTGTTAACAGGAACTCGCTTTAAGGTTTTGTAATGGACGCCAACTCGTGAGATCAGTAAACATTCCAAATGCAGCACATTGAAGGGTAATCGGGCTAGAGAGATGAAATTTTAATCGACTTGACAAAATTGTCATCTTTAAATGAGGATGGAATGAGCCAAGCTTATTTATTTACTCGGGGGACAATATTTTCATTGCATTGTTTATTTGTTTATTTGCAAACGAGATGATTTTGTGTTTTTTTCCTTGGTCCCTTTAACGTTAATCGCTACGCCCCCATTCTCCCGTTTTCTCTTTGTTGTTGTTGTTGTTGCTCCAGCAAACGGTAAATGATATCTAAATCAAAATATTTCATAGAAATCAATTTTTAAAAGGACGCTTCGAGGTGAGCAAATAATAAAGAGTCATGAGGTGAGCAGATTCTGGCACAGATAATTAACCAACGATGTTGCTGCTGAACCAATCGGAGGCTTTGACACAATTTGGCGTAAATTTAATTTGAATTAGTTGAAGATCCATTTTCGCAATCATTAACCACATATATAAACAGAGCATCGAATGTAATACCAGCAGGGAATTACAGGACGCTTAAATTACCCACGAGGGAAATCGATGTAAGATGGCAGAATTCGGCTGATTAAAATTTATCGATCGATTTTATACTGCTAATTGAACGCCTGAAGTTCAAATTCATCAGAAAAGAGTTACACAAATGTGACAACCTCGTATTCGGTGGTTTTTAGTGCTGTTCTGACTACAATCTGATCCAAATCAAGCAAGGTACATTTTTTTCATTTGTGTTTGACTTTCACACAAACAAAATTTCTGCATTTTCATATATTTGGGGGTCATGGATTGCCAAGACAACGGACCAGTCGACTAGAATTAATTGTAATTGTGGAATTTGGAAAGACGTTAATTGGACCTCTTTGATGTAACCCCTTTGACAATATCTTAACTTTTTCGCTAGGTTGATGCAACTGAAAGGAATTGATAATGATCTCGTCTAGCCTTCATTAGATCAGGTTTTTACCACAACTGACATTTACTATAACAAAACCAGATCATTTGCCTAGTTCTGATCAAATTATGAACATGGTGTTCTTAATTACGGTGCTAATCATTATTGATCAATGCTAAAGGGCAAATGTCGCTTGACACAAACGCACTATCAATTTATTCGCCAGACGCCAATCACTAACAACTTAAACAAGCGAAAAGAGGGGGAGGGTAATTCAAACTGCCCAAATCTAGGTCGTGTTAGTCGTTTGCTTGAAAAGTTGTACTGTGTTTTTTTTATTCTCTCGTTAGTCCATCGAATTGGGTAAATGGGAGAGTTTGTGGGTGCGCCGATGTGGTCGAAAATGTGGGAACGGTCAGTCATGGAGATTTAACTGCGTGGTTAGTCAGGCACCCTGTTGGGTGCTGGACGGTTTTAAGTTGGAGAAAATCAAGATTTCAGTGTATGATTTAGGCAGTAAATGAAGACTAAATCTGTCTGCTGTTTAAAATCTTCCACCTAATGGGAATGTTTGGCGACTGGCCAAACATTCGTTAAAATATCTTTTTTTCAAAAGGAAAACCTTGCATAGCTACTCTAATTAATTAACGCAACTTTAAAAACAGATTAACATGTCAGAAAATCTGAGAAAAACGTCACCATTGCCTCCCCCAAAGGGCTCTTAGTAAGAAATACAATGACCATCAAGGTACCAGACAGATCATCCAATGACAACTCAAACAAATTGCAAAACTAACCCACACGCACACTGTAAGGTGCTTATTGGCCAGTTGATTCAAACGCCTGAATGCTTGATCATCTAGCTTTCGCGAGCAAAGTTTCGTTTTCAGGAAATCCACAACGTGCAGGCACTTGCCTGCATTGTACCAGTGTGTGAACTTTGTTCATCATCTGGGGTTGAGTGTGTGCAAAGATTTTCAGATTGACTTGTTGTTGCTGACTGTGACGTATATAACTTTTCCGCAATTAGCCTTGTAATCGCTTCTCAACGAACCAATTCTATGCTTTTTTTCTAATTTCTAAAGTGTCAGTTCAATGTATGTTTGTTTATCTTTACTGAAAGGTGTATAGAGTAATCGGCATTATTGTCAAACCATCGAAATTTAGCCCAAGTGCTTAAAAGTTGTGAGGGACGGTTGTGCAATGTACGTCAATAGCAAGGCAGAATTCTGCAGAGAAATAGCCTGGCAACGTTAGAAGCGACGATTTCGGCCGCCTGGCCAACTAATTTCTGTGATGAGTCAATTGGATACTCTTGTGAGTGAAAATGACGACGTGACCAGGGGAACACTTGTCGCCATCTGGGGTTCATTAGATAGGGTTCAAAAGACAGGGCTGTGGTTGTCGCGTGAATTGACCAGCAGCCAATCGCAGCTGATCTCACTGATTACCCAGAGTAATGTCTTGAGCGGGTCTTATGCAAAGCAGCTTACGTGTCACAAATTTATGGAGCGATGAGACAAGGCCGTAGATAATTGTGAAGCGATCATGATTATTTTTGTTGCAAGTTTGTTGCTCCCGGATGAATACACTTGGCGTTCTTCTGTTACTAATACAGGCCAGAAACTTAGATAATATCACGAAAAGCAGAAACTAGATACTGGTTCAAGGTCTAAGTTCACCTGTTCTCGCTTCAAAGTCCATAAATAACGTTACCACAATTTTTTCTGGTCGTGAAGTCTTACTTAAAATAACACGCTTGTAAAATGACTTGAATTTAACATGAAACTAAAAGTTAATCTTGCAGGTTTTTTTAAAATAAATCACATCAGCAGGTTGCACACACCATTGGGTCTGAAGTGACGTTTTTTCTGATTTTAGCAGTAGTTTCCCCTAAAATAAACACCCACACACCGTCACATTCAAGAATTACTGGACTTCAGCCATCATGAGAGCACGTTTGTTCAGCTGTTCTGCAAACGAATCAGATCGTTGGAAAAAGTCATCAATTTTGGATTCCTTCAGGCGTTAATTCAACCCCGAAAGAATGACAAGGTTGAAACCTGTTCTATTGTCTTTCGATTAATTGGCCGTTCAGAACGATTGTGCCCTATTGGTAAGCAAACAGTCAATAAAATGTAAAGTAAGTAAAATTATCGATTTTCGAATCAGATCCGAGCGCCATTGCTTCATTACTTTCTTCTAGCAAAATTCCAAAAACCAAGCTTCCTGCTCTGCGTTTCGATGAACATTTAACCTTTCGTGACCGTGAACATATGGCGAAGGTGATTGGAAAATAAGGGGTACGGGTCGGTACATGGGATCGAAGATCTGGATCACGGGGTCCAACTTCACAATCTGAGGACAACGCACCTTCAAGAAATCCCACCTTCCCAAAAGTCTACTATCAAATGTTAATAAAACTCTTTTCGAAAACAATCAATGACAAGGTATTTGACTTCCTGTAATAGACACTTCTACGGTTTAAGCTTTCTAACACGACAAAAACAACGAACGCTTCAAAGAGCTTGTTGTGAATCGTGTTTATTCACACCCCTTAAGCCGGTGGCTCCACCTCCGACACAGGGTTCCCCTTTTCGCAGCTTGTCGACAACCGCCCGAAACCTCAACTCCTCCTTCATTCACACGGATATTTATCTTGGATTATCCCAACACCTAGGTCTCGGTGTTAGCGCATGTATGGCTCACACATCTGAGGTACAAATATACACCCTCAAACCCCACAACGACACAACGGCACCAACGTGGTTGAGCTCTGAAGTAAACGGTTGTATCCACGTCCTCTCCGATCTTTTTCTTCATCACGGGTATCAGGGAAGTGTAATCAGGCCAGAATTGAGTCAGTGACCCCGGCGTGGTTCAAGACCACATGCGGGGGCCCACAACAGGCTCCATCGACGTCTAATCAACGACACTGAGTTAGTCTGCAAGGGTTTGAAGGGCACCCTAACTATCCAATCGGTTCAGGCACACAATCTGACTCACTGTGAGGTTCGGCACTCGATCAATAGCTGTGGGTCTGGTGTCGTCACCGTAGCCCTCCACATCCCCCATGCTGACCACTCGCGGCGACAAGGGCAGCCTCTCCGGTATCTGGTCCTTCAGACGTCCTCGCTGAAGTTGACGGATCTTCTTTCTGTACTGCGACTACAGCAAAGTAAAACGAAAAGCCAAAGGTGAAAACTCCGCCCTTCTTTCAATTAGCAAAGTCTCGGGTCAATTTCCAAAGGTTATCAAGTTTGTGAGCTTTACGCAGACTTGGTGATCTGCCAATCCTGGCAGTTTTTTTTATAGCTTCCTAGTCCACTTTATTGGTTCACATTTGACAGTTTTGGTCATTGCAAGCAGCCCAACGCTTAGTGTTCCTTGTAGTCCCACCAAATTGTCAGAGATCGCTTTTTGGTTCAAATTGGCTCCCACTATGGCTTGTGCTAGTCCACAACGTTTATTCCAAGTTCATATCCTTAAAATGAAATCACTGCAGCGGATTCATTTCACAACAAGGGCGATTTCAATGCACATGTGACGACAAAAAATTGCATATCATCAAAAGACAGTTATTCCACAATTTGATTCATTTCTGACTCTGATTGGCTATCGTCAACTCCAAATGACCAACCATACAGTTGGTCAAATTTAAACAAAAAAGTTAACAGAACTGATGTATAAAATCAATTTAGTGAGATTTCCTATGCTAAGTAATCTTTACCACACACTTTGCATGAATCGTTGTTCCTTCATATTTTTTTCGGAAATAAAGATATTAGGATAGTAACCAATCATTTGTTTTCGCTCCCGATTCAAAAATTAATCTCAACCAAACAGCTATTAAAAGTTTGCTCTCAACGTGCGTTTCAAGCAAGCTAAAGGTATCGTTTGTCAGATATCGAAAGTAAAGTATTGTGACTTTGGAAAAAAAATTCTTTCAGAAATAATAAAAATTTTAACGATTTCAATTTTGTTTAACTTTCATTTGTGATTATGCACACCACTATTTGAAATTGTATCGGCTGTCCCCTTCCTATTGGTCCATTCGTCTTTGAGTGTACTTTATCTCTGAATTGTTCTCAAGGCTACGACCACGGCGTATCTAGACAATAGGGCGCGCCTGAACGTGTACTCGCTCTTTGGCGAGACAGTAAAAAGCCCTCCGCACGAAGTCTTGTCCCGGTTTGAGGATTCGATGACTCATCCGTGGTATGTCCCCGTTCCAGTACAAGGGAAACCGTTGACAGGATAAACAAGGGGTGTTACCTATGTGTACCGATAAACCATAATAAAATCACTATTTGTAAGAGCCAAAATTATCCTCTATTCAAATCTTTAGGCGGTTGTTTAATGAAATCGTTAATCCTTTCCGAAACATGGGATAGAATCTGGAAAATAAATTTGTTTTCTTCTGCGCTTTCAAGCGCCATTTCCAAAACCAGCGTTGCCATTTTGTTCCTAGGTGTGATCGATATATACCGAAATCACGCAAATCGTTCCTAAAAAGCGTTCATATTTAACCTAAAATAACCACAAAGGAGGAACTCTTCTGACACCATTGTGTAGTGATTTCGCTTAAGTCATCACCATTTGAAAGTGGAACAAAGAATAGAATGAGCACACGACAACTGCTCAAACACGTCTAACCAAAACGAAGTCCGTCCAAGTGGTTATTCACGAAGACTCGCTTGAAAGCTCTGGTTGGAGTTTTCATTTATTCTGATTAACAGAATGAAAATTGTGCCACCAATAGGAATTGGGGAGAGCGAGTTCCTCTAGATTTGATTGGTCCGTCTCGAAGTTACGCTTTACTGAGCCGACCAATCGATAAAGCAGGGATGCAGACACGCAAAATACCCATTAACGCAGACAACTTCGGTTTTCAAATAATCCGACTGTCTATAGCGTCGAATAAACTATCTCACAGTCTCCGGTTATTAGTTTACGTCGAGTCGGTACACCCTGATACGTAATTGCACCTAAAAATTATGTTTGTAAACCAATCTGGTGGTTCAAGTTAGTCGCACAATTGAAGCTTGGAAAGATAAATATTTTATTAAATTTACTTCGTATTGTCCAATTTTTCAGATCACAATATCGAGCTTTATGCCACTTTGGTTCTGTGGCTTGCTGTCACATCGCACAGGGCTGCACTGCACCAATTGTGCGTGACTTGTTAGCCAATGGCGAGCTTTGAATTACTGTGGAAAAGGTTGGTGGGACTTGAAAGTGTCACGCCGACTAAGATCTGCCATAAGGTTAACGTCTACTCACCTTCATGCAGACGGCCGTGAGAATCCATCCGGTCAACAGGCAGATGGCTACCAGGGTTCCAACGAAGCAGGCCAGGAAGAACGCCAGTTGGCAGGACTGTTCATTCGAAATTGCCATCCAATTGGACTGGCTATTCGCAGGCTGATTGGCTACTGAGGAGTTCCATGGCCCAACAAGTTCAATGTTTCCAAGTAGGCGGAAAATCGTAGGTGTTGTGGTCGTGGATGCAGCAAATCGCGTCTGTGAATGAAATCATCATTAGTTTGGCCCCATATTTGTCCAATAACATATCTTTGCTTGTAGAAGCATATTTGCAATAAAGAAACGCACTCGCTTTCAGAAACTTTGCATTTCAATTTTTTGGTGATGAACTAACTGGTTTCGATCTCAATATTCAACATTTTTGAGTGGGTCTATCAGGTTATTAGCGCATACGCTTTAAAAAAGCGTTATTTCCGATTATAATTCGTCAAATTCACAAACAAAGCGCAAATTCATCGTAAGCCTCTTGTCCAATTTTGCATAGATGATAAGCCTCATTTTGAAAAGTCAATGAGCCATAAACTTACTCTTGGCGTCGTGATAATTTCCATTGGTTTATTCGTTGTTTTAATTTGCACCACAGGGCTAGCGGAATAGCTACTTTCAATTGATGCATGCACCGTACTGTCACTGGTTGTTACGGCTTCCTTTGATGACGCCGTTATTGTGGAGGTGGTGGTGGTGGTGGTGGGGCTTGTCGTCCGAACAGGTTCTGCTTCATGAGTGTCCGATGCGTCATCCGAGGTTTCTGGGATTAGCCGAAAGATCGCTTCAGTAGATTGGATCTCTGGTGTGGTTACTTCAGTGGTTCCGGTGAATGAATGTCCCGCAACACCCGTTGGCACCGATGCTGACGCGGAGAAATTTTGCACACCTGGAGTTTGTTCCATAACGATGTCTTCCAAGGTAGCTTCTGCGATCACACTGACCTCCGCGGTTGTTCTACTCACGGTCGAGTTCATTTCAGAGACGCGGTAAAAAGCTGAAACTGTGAAGAACCCATGTGCCACATTCGTAATTGATATGAAACTCTGGTGGCAAATGATTGGTGGACACTCGCGTGGCGAAATGCCATTGGACAGAAGTGAGATCCGGGTGCACCACACGATGTCGGCGTGGGTTTGGTTTAAATTCCATGTCAAACGTGGATTTACAGCATGGCAAACTTAAAGAGGAAAATGGCTTGTTAATTCACACTGAAATTCATTTTTGTCTCATTACCTCCATCTGGATGAATTTATCATACAGGAAGTGTTAAATTCATGCTGTTTACATCATTTTGATGGGATTTGCCTGGCCATTTCAGTCATTCGACGCAAATTCCTTGCCTTTATTCGTCGTGTTTGGAAATTTAACCTTAAAAGTAGATGATGATCCTGATCGGGTTCGGGCCAATTATCTAGACAAGGTAATTAGCACGGAATTTTCCAAAACTGATTTTGGCTAAAGACCATCCATCTCTGTTAAATTGATAGTTGTTTGTAGGAAAACATGTCAGATTTATCACATTTTTGACCAACATTTTAAATAAAACACAAATATTGTTACTTTCATGTTGTGTTCTACGATTTCGAGCAGTTGTTGACCCGGTCATCCACGCTTAGCTCCTTACGGACACGGTTTTAAGTTAAACATCTAGAAATTAACCAGCTCTTTTGTTGAAACTCGCGCCACGTAGATCCAACGTCTTGCGATTGGACAAAGGCAGCTACATTCAGAAGGTCGATTGTTGGTTTAAAGGTCAAATGTCAATTATACGGTGCATGCGATGTTGTAAATGCAATAACAAAACCAGCGAAACGGCAGCGTTGATTGAAACCAATAACTACTCGAGAAAGTGTTGAATTTGTTTTTTTTGTAAAAATTTCAACCAATCGAAAAGCGTTTGCACTTCGTTAATTGATAGAAGCGAAGCTGAAGTGATTTCACTCAGAAATTGACCTACAACTCGTAAAAATGCTACTTTATGCTATCGCATTAAAGTGGCATCAGCTGGATTTCATTGGACTAGAGGCAGTAGCTTAGAAAATGACTCGGAAAACATTAAGTTTTACTGAGGCCAACAGAGAATTTTGGAAGTGGGCGAAAGAAGGAAAGGACCAATCAGGAAATGCAGAAGACAACCAATCAGATCGTCACTCTGCAGGCTCATGTACTCAGATATTCGGAAATCGTTCGAAGTGACACAGTGAGTCCAACTTGGTTTTAAATGGAATTTTGCTGCCATTTATAAATAGTAATATTAAAGTTCACGTTGTTTGAACGAAGTATGCAAGACTTCACACTTGCACGGGTTTTTGCATTGGTCGATTTTTTTTAAATACATCAACGTGCAAACCTAGCAAATTCGGCTGAAATCCTTACAAATAAACTGTCTGGCAATCGATTCATCGATTTTTTGTCAGTGTAAGAAAGAGGTTTGAGCGTGGTTGGAAAGTGAATTATATAGCTCTAGCCAAAAATATGAAGAATCGAACCGACAATAGCCCGGCATTATAAAAAACACCTTTTCTGCTTTTATTCATGGTGTCAGAGACTTGGATGAGATTTTTCAAAGTTGTGAGGTCTGCGGACGTCGTTAGAGGGCGACCCCAGTGAAGCATTTCGTTGCTATCACCTTGTTGAAAAGGCCAATTTAAACTCGACCTAACAGTTCATTCTCGGACTGACTTCACAACGTTGGCGAGTCACAGGCAAACCAATTTTTCGAGTCAGATACCGCGGTCAGTGACGACCTTGAATGAAATAAATGCGTGATTCACCGACCGTGACTAATGACTCAGACATCGGTAACAATCACTATGGCAATAAAACTGGCACTAGATGACATGTTGATATCAATCCATTTAAAAGAATGTCATTAATTCGAGAATAGCATTAATCGATTCGAGGCAATCGATTTATAAACGCAGTAACATATTGCCTGAAATTCATATGACTCAAAGTGAGTCTAAATGAAACCAGAGACAATCGATGGGGGCGCTTCGTTGTTGGGTGAATTTGCTTCGCACAAAACCAGCACTGTTGTCCATGCTTACACAGTCCCACCAGCGTCAATCCCCATTGGTCCATCGAGTCAAGGTCACCCGCAGTACGCATAATCTGTTATAGTCCCGAATTTGAGGTGGTACTGATGTACTTAGACAGGGAAATTGTTCAATTACGATCAGGTCTTATGCTTGTGTATCAAGACGCGAAACGTGCACACCATTTTCAGCAATCAAATGAACCGCCCCCATCCTATTGGCTATCTCCTCAACTCAGGGCATAGGAGACGGCACTGTGCACACACGAACACGATGAGGCTCCAGTGTGTACACGATCGTGACTAAGACAAACCAACAAGCACAGAACTTTAACACTTTATTATGATAACAAGTGGGGCAAGTGTGTGGAGTACAGGGAAGCGGGTTAGATCAGAATTTCTTTCGAGTCGACAGAAACGAGGTTGCTGACGGAGGTCACTGATTGGTGCCAAGCGTTCAGGCGCTCAGCCATGCTTTTTATCTACGGAGGGAAATGTATAATATTCAGGCTACTTAAATGTAGTGAGTAAAACATATAGTATAGATTATACGATGGACCAGATGGTTATTTACACTGACATTAAACAGCTAAAGGGTAACTTTTCAGGTTCGAAAACACCACCAATTATACCTGGTCAAGATCGAGAACACGAGGCTGGAGCCAGTTCAGGCTGACCTTCTGGTTGACTTCGTCGATTCGGCCTTTCATGAGATTGAGCGAGAGGGCTCGCATCACAATATACTCCACCTAAAATTACAAATACAGGCAGGACATCAGCGAGCAAATCTGAGGCAGCTGGCTTTGTCCCAACTGATGTTTAGCAGCAAGGTGGCACCTTGTCGACGGGGGACCGAGTTGCCTTGGCGATTTCCTCGAAAGTGACCGTGCGGTGGTTGGGTGGACGTCGGAAGAACATCTCCATGAGAGCCAGCAGGACGGCCTTCTCCTGGAGAAACTGCGAGGCCACCGCGAGGTCCTTCACCTTCGACCACTTCGGCTTGAGCTTGGCGACCACGTCCAAGTCGCCCTTGTTGAAGGCGTGCAGCAAGTCGACGAGCCACGCGGCGTCCTTCTTTGCGCGCAGCGACTCGAGGATCTCGTGGGAGATCTTAACAAGCAAACAGCCTCCAACGTTGCACAACGAACGCAAAAATTATTAAAGCGTCCACAATTTACGCATAAAAACTGGCAAAAAGGCATGTTATTGAACTTTAGAGAGCGAAAAGAGTTGATTGAAGACGGCGTCGGTAAAAAAATATTGAATACACAGTTTACTCAAAGCCCGTTTCTACATACCAAATTCATGAACGTTGTGTAAGAGAATCTAACGTCAGATATGCTATAGACAGAGACGGCATTGCGTTTGATTCGGCCCAATAATTAATGCGAAGGAAGAAACTTCGATCACAGCAAAATATCGACGTGCATATATTGATGTCTACCAACATGGAAGACGCCGAACGGATTCGTTTACAAAACTAAATACGTGTCGCAAGGTAATTAGATAGCCAATATAAGTGCTTAACACAGGGGCACTTATCATAAAAGGCCATCAAAGTGAGATGTCAAAAATAACGACACCAGAATCTTTTCAATGGTAAAAAAGCCCACAGAATCGACGGCATAATAATAAACCGGGTTAATAAATAGTCGGCGTAGGAAGGAATGCCAAGTTGGCTTATTTTCTATCTGTAACAGTTTGTTTTGCATAAACCTCCTTTACTTCGCTAAAGGGGTCAAAAAATAGTCAAAGTGGAATTATAAACGCGTGTTATCAGGCTTTCATGAGTGTAAAAGCAGTTAAAATGCTACAAGCACCAACTCGCTAAAATTATACACCCCTGCACCAGCATCTAATCGTTTATTCTGCATTCCGCGTAGCACAAACCTCCTTTACTTGCCTAAATTAATCAAAAAAAGTCCAAGTGGAATTATACATATTTGTAAAAGCAGGTAAAATGTTTAACGCACCAACTCGCCAAAATTATACACTCCCTGGCCAAGCAAAGCTGCAAGTCCAATCGAAAACGCCCAATCCTGCTTCTCCTCGTCGGAGAGTTCGGCCATGTCCGTGCACCCAAGAAACCGAAGCGCCTCGCGGTAGTATTCGGCGTGTTGACCCATAAGCTGAGTAATAAGATGTAAACTGACGGTTCGCCCAGAAGTAAAAGACAAGATCACCTGCGGTATGAAACTAACCTTGTAGTATTGCGAACTCATTCGGTAATAACGCGAATGAACAGGGGTGACGCCGTCAATCTTAGACAGGATTGTACAAGTTGATTCAATAATGTCGCGAGCACCCGGAAGGTCATTAAGAATGAGGAGTCGAATCATGCCGATAGTTGACTGAGCTAAGATAAGAGCCTCGTCGTTTAGACTCATGTACTGAAATAAGGAACACGTCGAAAGTAAAATTTGATTCAAACGTTTGAAAACCAACGAACAACAGTTACCTTATCTCTGTTGTCTTCCACAAACTTGACAGCAGCTTGAGGATCTAAGAGGGTTACAAAACCATCAGAACAAACCTTTTTTTACCATTTCATTTGTCATGGGCACCAAAATTTCAGCAAGTGACAATGGATTAATTCTATAGATTGGATATTGGAAAAACCAACTACCTTGATTTGAATGAGTTCAAGAACTGTTGATCAAACTATAGAACAATAAATTATTTCTGCAAGCACTTACTTGATTTAAGTCAATAGAGGATGTAAAGCCAGGCTTATTTAGAGACTGCAGCACCTGTAAAGTCAATTGATGCCATAGTCTAAAGTTTCAAAAATTAAATTAAAATTACTTTCGAGAATATAAATCCCGCATTTTGGCCCAGTCATCACTGAAGGTTTGGTGACCTTTTAATCTAACATCCAAATACTCCATTATCAGTACAAGATGATACAGGCCAAATATCAACTCTGGCGCTATCTCAAAGCTAAGCTCAGATTGGTTGTACTAGTAAATAAAAACACTAAATGCAATGTAATTTTATTTTTATTGTAAATGAAACAGGTTATACTTAGTATGCACAGATAGACATTTCTTAATCTTGTAATATTAAAAAACAATAAAAATATTAAAACTAAGATGTGATTCAGATGCCCAACTTCAGAGACATTTAACCTAATTCAACGAAACAACAAGCATTATAAACATTTTAATTTATATTGAACTAATAACCTATTACCGTGTCATAGAGTTTACTTCCAATGAATTTGTTGGAGCAATGAAATTAGCCATGATTACAGGTCATGTTCCCCAAAAATATACGCAGTGCCGTCAGCACGCATAAATATTTCTAGCAATATAATTTTTTAGAGCAGTGAAACTAATCACGAATGCAAGCCATGTTCACTCAAAATAAACGAAATGCAGTCAGACCGCATTAAGTTTTTATGGTCTCTTGTTTTGATACAATGTGTCTCAGCGGTTTTAACTAGCCAGTTGTTCAACTTGAGTAAAGTATTTTGCAGGCATTTCTGTTATCATAAAATCGTAGATGGCTGCCATTAGACACTAGTACCTTCCCAACTGAATGTGCTTCACCAAATTCATTTATAAAAAGGTTTTTTGACAAATAAATAGTTAAAAGTATACCAGGAATATCATCAACGCATCTCTCGTCTCTAAGATAACATAAGTTAAACATATTCGTTACTTTATATCATTTGATAGATTTTCATGTTATGCTCTTCGAATCGCATTCCTTATACATTTATTTGATTGATTAAACTTAAAATTTTTTGGATATTGTAATGTAACTCGATTGAGCTCTTACTGAGTGGTTATACCTTTGTCCTCTATTCGATTAGTAAATTTTGCAGTGAAGTAATTCAGTTTAGAATAGAATTGTGATTGAGGAGATTTTTAAAAGCCAAACAACGACACTGGAAGCAGCCTAATTTAAGGACCCCATAAGCCTGTGTTGTCTCTTGCTTGTTTTCATGACCCATTTCATTTTTCCAAGCTTAATGAATCGAAGAGTCTCAATTAATTCTGCACATAACTCAACTGTCACTCTGACCACACAGCTGGTCATTATGGAGCTGGCTCATTCGCCAGCTTATCCGAACTTTGTTAACCAAAAATTAATTAGGTCATGCTCTTGAATGCACGCACAAAAGCAACAAATATACGACAGATGCGATTGCGCTTTCCGGTCTCCTAAGTATACGTAGTCATTATGTTTCATTACAAACTTTGAGCCCTTATTTAGGTTGAGAAATATACCACGACAATGCTTTTTGTTCTTTTAAACCAAAAATAGCACTGCTTGCTTCATGCTGCATCATTTTAGCCTACAGAGAATTATTACCAGTCACTCTGTCGTATATGCCGCAATTAATTCCATGGGTACATGTCATAGAGATACAGAAGAAATTATTTGATGCTGAAACATAGATTATTTAAAAACAGGTCACTATGAATGCTATGAACTTATAAAACATGAGAAGGCAGTTGTTAATTTGCTGCAAATAGAAATAAACCAAATCTTTTCAATCTCTTCTCTTTTTACTTTCACAAAACCAAGAAATCCTGCGAAAAAATGTTACTCTAGGTCTTTAGAACCGTGGAAGACGTGAAACGCCTGAAAATTGGCAGCAACATCCAAAATCCTTCCTTTTAACAATTGATTTAAATGAGCCATGAAATATATACAGTTTTAATCTAGTACGCTGATTTTTAAGAAGAAATTTGATTGAGCAAAAATTGCGCAAAAATTGAGGCAAAGGGCAAGGCGAATTAATTTGGCTACTATCGAATCGTTTCTCTGACTATTTTTAGCACCTTTGCATGTCTCCTGTTTATAAGCAAGCTCAAAGTTCCTCATGGACAGCTCAACTTTGTGAAGCCACCTATTTAATGGTTGGGTTTTTAACTGTCTTAGACCAGATCAGCCGAATCGATGTGGGATCTGGATCCAGTGGCAAACTAAGTGCCATCAGCCTTGGTCAATATTACCAAAGGGGTATTACACTGAGTATCCATTACCTTTGCTGAAATATCAACTTCCTCGTTGTGTCGATCAAACTTTAGTGCTTGGTAGATAAATATCTGACTGCAACCCTCTTTATTAATTTCGATTTAATGGTGGATTTAGTGGAACATGCAGTCATAACACGCATTCGCAGCCTTTTTTCGTTCCAACAGAGGAATGCACATCAACATTCATTTTGAAGCTCCTCCTTGATCAAACGCTTAACGGACGGTACCTTGTCCTGCGATTTCTAGGGATAAAAATGGCTTGATTTCAAAGTCACCAATTCAGGCTAGGTGTAGTGTCCACATATGATACCCTAGTCCTATCATAGGGTATCAGATGTGGTAATGCGTGTAGCTGCGTTGGCCGTATCGTTAGCTAGAAAACATCCTTTAAAACGCAGATGACGCCTCGAAAAGACAGGATGAAGGAGTGAAAACGACCACATATTCACCGCTAGACACTGTGGGCTGACACGTATGTGCGTGCTGCAGTGCAATCACGTGGAGTGCTAGTGCGAACGGTGTGGTTTCACGACGTGTGAGGAAGTGAACCGACTGAATGGATTTAACAGGCTTTCACTGCAAACTTCCGGTTATAAGCCACCAACAGTACTATCATCATCATAATCGACGGAACGAAAGAAACATTGATTAGGCACTAGGGAGCCAAAATTTAGGCAGGAGATCTTATATCAAATTAAATAATGAGCGTAAAATGAGCCCACATCGTACGAATGCCTACTTTAAAGAACCAAATAGCTATCAGCTTTATCCTTCCTCCTAACAGGTTTACCAAAGTAAGGTCGTACTCAACATACTATTGGATGATTCAGAATCCACTTATTGGTTAAAATTCGAAATGCGGTTCTAAGACCTCGGCGCTATTCGAGGGATTGCTGGCGCAGTAGCCGAGTTTAGCACTGCCTTACAACCCTTTAGTTAACAGCCCATAACAACCTGAGAAGTGGGAAAGAGGTGACAGAGAACACTACTGTGTTATTAGAGTTGCAAAAGCTGCCACTTCTTGTGTGCGTATGATTAGGCGTGCGTAGCAGGTGACTGCTAACAAAAGCCAATAATAAAAAGCGTGAGTCATTGGTACAGTCGGGCCAGCACACACGCGTCACTCACACGCTGTGGCTGTCTGTCCACTACAATGCTTTCACGAAAAATCGATCGAATCGTGTTCGATCACGGATGCTAATTAGGCTGACTTGCTGCTCACCACACGGTACTTGTAATCCAAATAAGACACGAACCCCTTAGTGCATCCCAGTGACCTGCATATCAGATCTTGTCATTGTTGATTTAAACAAATTTTTGGCTCATGTATTCACGATAAGCCTATGCATAGGAGACGCATCGAAGCTAGTTCGACCATTCCCAACGCCAAATCCCCAGAGCACAATGAGATGATCAAGGTCGGTGGTGGCTGCATTCTGGCCATAGCTGTTCCTGCATATCAATAGGTCACGTGGCGGACAGTGTGGAGCCTGAGTCATTGGGTATTTGAGCATACAAGATCAACATTGGAGTGCGTCGTGGTGGACGCAGAGTTAGGACCGAGTGGCTCAGCAGGGGTCTGCAAAGGAGGGTGTAAGCAAGAGTGTGCCGACGCATAAGGGCGCAAACATATTGGACCACACTGGCCCCAGCCAACCCTCTGTCTCTCCGCGTTCCAGTGGCATTCGAAGAAGAAAAGCAGCTAACCAGAGAAAGACTCGAATGGGGAGCAGTATATAATGAGCGGCGTAACCAGCGTGGTGGACTCGGATTCTGGGTTCTGGTTTGTGATTGGTCAATAAAGCCTGTTCTTTTGTACCAGTCTTCTTCATACTAGGGCTCGGGTAGTCTACAAGGGAAGCTGTCACGCATGACTACGGTTGGCTGTGGTTGAAGTTGACGCTTCTATATTGTGCGAAATTTGTTTACAAATGTGAATTAGCTCTAATGAGAGCCCAAGTTGATGTAAAACCATCTGCTGTGTACTTTTCTAGAGGTTGGAAGCAACCAATTTCTGAAACAAATTGACGGAGAAGATAACAAATCGGTTCTATTCAAATTGAATACACAAACGGTGGCTGGCACCATGACAAGCTCCTCCGAGTTAAACCTCAACTGGATGGACTAAAACAACGCCTTGTCGGTTAATCGGAGCGGTTTCTTTCTCCAGCATTACAAGCATCAACCAAAAACTTACCATATCAAGTTCTCCAGATGCTGTTCTGCTGATCTGCCGCCTTTTCAGATCATTGGTGCATTTTCTTGCTGGAAAAACCTTCCACATGACCATGGAATATTTAAGGTTGGAGGTATCCGTGTTTTGCAACACGTCGCATTCAATGGTTGTCAAAGAAATCAAAGAATCAACATTCGGCAGTTTTACGCACTTTTTTGGTAACCTCGAATTAGTATTCGCGACGACGACCAGAGAGCGCGTTTCAAGTTTGCCTCGCGTGGATGTCACCAAGTTGAAGAGAATCAGCCCTATTAAAAGCGTCCTAATCGATTGATGAAGAACGACAAAAATTCATGCCCAAATTTCTAAAAAAACTCAAATTCTATAACACCACCGTGAAACAATTTGAGCACAGACAACACAAACTCGTAGGGAAAAGACATGACAATCACGAAATGCCTAGCCCTTTCCAAGCGCCTGTTTCACTTGCCAAATCACCGCAGGAAGTCTGTGGCAGTATTGTCGTGTTAATTTAATTTCTGTACACAAGTAGATCAAAGACGCGTTTAAACGACGCCCTTAAAACGAGGGTTCGAGATCACTTAAGCGGTTGATGTGATCTGGTGAAGCGAGATCGCCTCATGCATGATTTCGAGGTGCCACAGATCGATTTGTGCCAGGCGATGGTAGGCATCTGAACGACGTGTTTGTGATCCACATATTCTAAATTAGCCGCCGACATCAACAGTACAAAACTTCAACGGAGATTGCTGGCTTAACATGAAATTGTTGAACTTAAGCAATTTTTGGCGACTTCAGCCGGATATTTTAAACCCACTTTTTGTGAACAATTTTCTTGCGTCCCTAGACATTGACATCGTCGGAGAAATAACCGTTTCTCCAAATTGGAACGGGACAATCCACAAACTGGTTGTTTGGTAAAAATCACCTGCTGGTGATCATCATGCGTCGGTATACCGGAGATGGACTTGGGCTTTTCCTCTAAATCCACCGCCGATGGAGCTGCCGCCACCGCCACCTTTACCGGACGTAGCACCGAGAAACGACAAGGAGATAATCAATGCTAGGCCCATCTTTTTAAAATGTGATAAAAGAAGCTGTGAACAGACGCCAATGTAAGGTAAAAACGAGTTGGACATTCAAAACACGCGGTGACGTGAAATTCATTGCGTACTTTTGTTCAAAGTGGCCGATTTGCCTTGAAGTCTCTGGACGTGACCTCATCAACGGCATAAACATTTCCAGTGTTGAATGCTTGCACAAGTCCGCGTCCGATTTGAAACCAAATTAAATACAAAATATTTTCTACATTAATGGCACCTACTAATTATTGAGACACTCCCTCATCACTTTCAACAACTTTTTCTCAATATACTGCATATTTCTGACTCCCTCTTGGTAATAAATGTGTTTTCTTTTTAAAGAAATTCATACCATACCATCCAATTTCTTGCTATTCAAATTGATTTGCAGAGGATGAAACGAATAAAATCGGAAAAACGGGGTCAGGAGCACTAGCGGTGCCCACTGAGCAATCTGCGGTCTGGCGCAAGAGAACCTCGCATCGATTGACCAAATTTGCACGTTTCGCATGATTTCCAACAGTGCGTTTTGCGAGCTGGTTACAGTACTCGTGCGATATTAGTCTGCTGCAATCCCTCCAGCAAGCACCCAGCGGTTCACCATTTCTCTATTGTGCTATTTTGTCATTTCTGATCCAAGACAGGATTTACCTCTAGCTCGAAGTGAAACTTGAAATCTATCCGATGCATCTGAGAGTTCTCCAAATGAAACCGTTCCACCATTTCCAAAATCCGGATGTTTTCGGAACTATCTTGGACTTGGGTCCATCCTCTACACAGGTCGGTGATTTGTTAAAAGGCGTGTCGTGTCACGCACGCTATTCACTTACTGTCACTTCAGAGTACTTTGATGCTGTTTACATAACCGTTTTTATAACCACCAGATCAGGTGCGTCACGTAATCGGACAAGCGACCCACGTCTGACCCTAATGCGTTCTCCCGCAATTTCCGCCCATTCATATTGACAAAAATTAACCTGCGTAGTGACGAGCGACGTCTGAACCGACTGCGTAATTGCCCCATGCTTTGGTAAAAAACGGTTCCACTTATGAAATCCGTTTAGCTAGGTACTGCAAAGTGCAGATGCCGATTTTACCCACACTGAGGGGAGCGCGTCGCCTTGAAAACACGTAGGAATTTAGGTCACTCGGCAGAAGCAACTTTTAATCGTGTTTATAGCATTTTTCTAAGGGATGGCATTTTACATCCTGAGATTAAACGTTTCGCCCATTCATGGTTTATGCGATTTAAATCCAAACTCTGCATGTCATTTGAGTGTGACTGCCAGACCGCAGCGTTCCAGCCTTCAAATGGTCTCCATTAGTGGATTGCAAGGTACTCTGGAAAACATTGACAGTTAGGTGGAGATTTTTAGTCACTCGGTTAACGCCCAGCTCCACATTTCACAAATTCGTTTAGGAGGAAAGCGAATTTGGTCCTGTGGGATTAAAGTTAACGCACTTCTGCCAACATGTTGCAATCTTTCTCAGTTTCACCATAGAACCTCTGGTTCCTAGTTTTATGAGCTGAAAATTGAACCAATTGCGACTTCCTGGCACCAGAATTCTTGGGGTTTCTGAAAATGTCACCCAATTGTTAATTGATGGTGCATATTCAAGACTGGATAGACCATTTTCATCAACAGAAATAACTCGACTTAAAACGCGAACGACTTCAATGCTTCTGGGATGCATTTTGCCTATAATTATTCGACGTGGTTAGCGCAAATGCAAAAACCAAAAAAACTTTCAGGCATATTCACGGATATCTGATACATCTAAGAACATTTATACAACACTTCGACTTAATTTTAGCTTCGATTTGGTCAAAAAGTGAACAGTACAGATTTCTTACAATCAATTGTGAGTTGCGTCATCTAGTACGTAACCTCCACCTTAAGCATATCACCGTGACACCTCTCTGAAATCTGAAACATTGTGAGTCAGTTGTTTGCTCAGTCAGTTTATTAATACGTTTTGTCCAAACATCTCAGGGTACTAAAAACGGGATTCGGTTGACATTCAAAAGTAAGCACCAAAACCACAATAGACCCCTGGGAGGCGCAGACGCATAAAATCTCCATCAGATTCAAGTTCAGTCTGATTTCAAATGAGAAAAATCGCCACCCGCACCAAATCTTGTACATACGGCACCAAAGGAGCCCCGTTTTGATTGGTTTTATTACCACAAACACAAAAGCTAATAACGTTAGCCGAGACTGCACAGTAAATAGTGGTAACTAAGGTGATTTATGGGCCCTTTCTGGAGTGCTATGACAATTTTTTGGGGTCACATGTGCAGATATCCACCAGCTGCAACTTACTGCACACGGCATAGGACTGAATCGGTTCACGTATGTCCAGAAGTTCGATAAAACTTACACAGAAATCGAACCTATGGTTGCAACAAAATCCGGAAACGTCAAAGAGACTTAGTTTCAGCCTGCTTCAGATACCTCCATGGTTACACGCATGTCGCCGGAAACCAGGAAAGACTCAGTAGTGGAGGCAACGGTGTCTCGTGGACGTCAGTGCCCAAGTATTATCAAGAAATAGCAACGAATCAGTTGTGACACAAGGAGGTCCGGCGCACTGGTGAATGACAAATTTACGCTAAAACGTGCTGCTGCATCACACATAAGGTGAAAAGTCCATTTAAAAGGAAAGCACCCAGCACCACATACGTTCTTTTCCCTCACACAAACTCTTACAGCTTAAGTAGGCAAATGTCCCCGATAAATAGAGCGTATATTATCATTTGATGTAATTTGGTTTACAAAGACAGATATTAAGTAGCATATAACATGACATAGATCATGAATCATATACGAAATGGCACGCTGACCACGAAATTGTACAATAGAAAGGCGCAAGAAGAAAGGCGCTTCTGATTGAGGAACTTGATCTACTTGTTTTTCTTTACTTCGATGATAAGCGGACCGACATTATCACCAGTTTCCTGATTATGCTTATTATGCGCACCATCGCATAGCGGGAACTACAAAAAAGTAAGCAGAGAGACACATTACCTTTTTTGATTTCCAACAACGGCAGAAAACTTTTTTCTCGTGAATCGACTCTATATCGACGAAATCAACCACCTTTTCTTGGTTCTTTTTAACCATAGTATTCAAATGACCAGAGGATAAGAAACTTCGAACGGTAAAGAAGACGGAATAACCCAGAGCAGCTGACACACCGCCAAATATCGTTAATCCAAACATTTCTTTCACTAAAACGGTCTAAAATGAGATAGCTTCATACGCGATAAGGAGAAGAATCCGCTTAGGGAATCGGGGATCGGCACATCTCTTAGTGTATTTGGGAGATGAACACGGACGGTATTACTTAATATATTCATTGCGAAAAAGACCAACGATTAAGGTGATTTACAAAGGCTCCTTCATAAATGGGAGATTTAAACACAACGGACACTAAGGCATAAAACATTAAAGCAAAATTTCACTTAAGTTAAATATTTATTAATTGCAAAGACTATGGAAAAAAGAAATGAATGCTCATTTAAAAAAAACAGATAAAATGTGCACTAATCCAGAAGTATTTGCTTTGTTGAGGATGGATCAAATATTTAAATGCATGCATCTTCAAATACGAATAAGGGTACAAAGAAAAACACTTCCTCATTCAGCCAAATATTCAGAACATACTCCACTTGCAATGAACAATTTAAAAACTCATGCACATGTTAGCGATTTCTGTGTGTCTGCGGACATTCGTGATATCGGTATTTCGCGACTAATTTGGGGAATCTCAAGAAGCAAAGTATGTTGTAGGTAGGTAAGCTTACAGTTATTATAAGCAGCTGCTGTTGGTAAGGTAACGCATCAGAGGTATATAAATGGACAGAGTCGCCTTGAACTTTCTCCTCCAAATATTGTTGAGGTTCTTAGCTTGATGATACAAAGATGCTGAAAAACGTTTCTTAAATTAGTTAAAATCAGTGAATTGTATCATTTTTTTCCCGATATAACGTAAATGAGTTAAATCTCACGCGAGATGACTAAATTCGACATAGTAAAACTGAAAAATATTCCTGTATTCTTTTTTCATATAAAGCAATGATATGGATTTAATGAAGTCTTAGAATTCACAATCCGGAAGGCAGACTTCCCTCTAACATACGACAGAACCTACCTTATCATAGTTGACATAACATATTTTTCGATAGATCTTATATTCCTTCGTACCACTCGGATTATTGCTAATTCGACCTAATGAATTTGTTCAGACATTTTGTCAACAATTAAACTGCTTTAACTCTTTCAAATGTGATCAATTTATTCTTAAATAATGAGGCTTTACGACACGCACCAAAGAAATGTGTCATCAATAATTAAACCGTTTCACCATACTAGAATTCTGTTGAGACTCATGAAATATCATTTACATGTATAAAAGTGTTCTTATTTAGCCGTTATTATATCTTCGTAAAGATAAGTGCTTCTTATTCAGTCAAAGAGTTCAGATGAGGGAGACTAAATTGAGCTCATTATCTTTTTCTTTTAGTTGAAATAAAGCCTAGACATGTGCCGATGTCATGAAATTTTTTGCAAGTATTTAAGGGAGTAAAAACTTTAAAACTACATTTGAGCGCATGAAACACATATACTGACAATAACTGTGCGTTTGCAAACCTTCAAAGTACGATCAAGTCCAAAATTACGGAATTGATTACTACGAAAGGATAAAATTTAAATTGTGTTTAGTATCGATTATTTTAACAAATGTTTTACTTATTTATCCTAAGTCATTTGACTTAAATCGCAGAAGGTAATAGGGTAAAATAAATGAAACCTTACTTTTAAATCTATTTCGTAACAAATCCGATGATTGAAAAATTTGAATGTTTAGTAGCTAGCATCAAAATTGCAAATCATCGTTTTTAAAGAAAGCCGTGGTAATAAAAACAAGCACATCTCAGCTCTTCCACGTATTTGCCTAAAAACAAAGATGGAGGTTTGACTAGATTCACTAAAATGAACACTGGCCTTTTCTGAACTTCTTGGCAGATGCCAATTAATATTTGACGTAAGTACAAGCCCCAAGCAATGAGAAATAGAATTCAGAAGGTTACTGCAACAAATCGAAGTGCAACGCCACATATTTTCATTCCTTGGAAAAATTCCATTAAGATTTTTTATTTTAGTAGATGTTGCAATAAAGTCCAAAAGTAGCTCATAGTTTATGTTTAAATTTTTTAAGTATTTTAGGATATAAGCGTTTTTAATCTATTTCTGGTTTTAAATGCATTTCTGCAATATTTTGTGTGCAAAAATGGCGTTAGAGATTTTTGCTCGTCAAGATGTGTTGTTTTACTAAATGTGAGGTCAAAGACGTACCAATTACAGGGGAGGATGCCTATGAATCAGTTATATATTCCAAGGTAGCCAATCAAAAGACCGTTCGTCGATTGTGATAGTTGGTTATACATGCGGTTTGCTGTTTAACGCAGATTGTTCGCAATTTTCGACGAATATATTCGCCTTGCCTAAGTCAAGGGTTGTATCCTTCCACCAGTTTGTATTTTTTTCGTTTGCCAAATACCGTCCTTCCCAATAAAAATATCCTGATATGCTCTATGTTACTCTAATCATTGTTATCACCATTTTGTGCATATTCTTTGTTATTCCAAGGTAATTGGGGCGATCTGTTTTACTTTAACCGTTTTCACAGAATTTTATTTTATGGTATTTCATGGCGTTTAAAGCAAATACTGCCCTGTGTTGTTGGCGCTTCCCGCCTTAGTTTTCGAAGCGCTCATCTTGTAAAAATTTCCTTCCTCACCGGTGATTCTATTGTAAGTTTTATAGCTTTTTTACACTTTGCTCCTGCAGGAAATTGACAAAATTAATCTGACAAGCTGGCTACTGGATCCAAACGCAATGTAAATATGTTTAATTTAATATTTTGATCTTTTTTCAAGTTCCTTGTTTTGTTTCTACGTGTCGTGCATTCATTTCAACACGTCTCCAGATGGGCTTGCAGAAATGTCCTATCTGATTAGTTGTGCAAGAAGTTTGCCTTCTGTTAAGCCAACTAAAAAGTTTTCTCATAATCTTGGAGTGGTATGTCGAATTTTCAAAGTACGTTAATAACAAATTTAGTTGAGGTGGTTTACTTTGGTTGTAAAGTCGTGTCGCATCCATCTTTCCTACACAAAAATGACTTGCGTTGATCCATCGACGGTTTCTTCCACCTACAATCGTAGTGCCTTCAGTCTCCTTCTTCTTGAAAATCTTTCGATTTCGTTTCATCGGTTTAGGTAGGTCAGATTTAACCGTCAACATCGATTTAGGCGCGAAATTTTGCTCCAAGCTGGGAAATTAACTATAAAGCCACTAGTTGCCGCAAACTACCTATGTGACGATGACTGGACTTGTGCACAATGCGGCGAAACCTACTGTGAGACGCTCGACGATGTTGCACCTTCCAGTACCTGCTGGTTCTGTCGCCGCTCACATCTCTGCGGCACTTTCGTCGCTGTTCTCAGCACTGCCATTATGGTCAAAATTAGTTTATCAGCAAGCAGACCCGAGGATAAAACCGTTGGAATCAAGTTTTATGGAGTGAAACTTATTGCGCTTGAGTGTAGGTGACTTTGTGTTGCGCCCTTCCCATCACTACCTCCATCTGTAACGCGTGCCTCTTTTCAGCAACCTTGAACCAATTCGAACGCGCGATCACTTCTGATCTTCCTACGCAGGATTTTCATTTTGATCGCCCACGTCCAACCTCGCCCCAACTCACTTCGTCTAAACTTTCTATAAATGTGGATTTTCTTCCGTCCGCTTCAAGTATTGCGACTTCTGGTTCTGACTCATCGATCTCTGTAAGCTTACTCAGACAGCCTCTCGACAGGTAAGTACATTTCAACCGTTTGTCTATCGCAAGTGCTCTGTCTACACAAATCACTATATCACATGCCAAATTCTATTCGTCAGAAGTCTTTCAGTGACATTGCGACGCCTTCGTGGTTCGTTAGAGCACAGTTCGCCAAAAACGCTCGACAACGTCAGCCTCAGCATTGACCACCTTAAACTCACCAGCGGATGCATACCTGGGCCACGGTATGCTTCTCGAGAGTTTTTGCTCACGGGCCTCGACTTGGCCGGCACCTTTTCGGCGGAAAATTGTGAATGCGTTCTCTCCATCCGAGGCGCCTTCTTCGGCCTCGCTCACGATGTGCTCGAGGAGGAGTTCTTCGCCAGCCTCCTTCTCACTGCACATTCCATCGCCCTGTCGCATCACTTAATATCAAATCTCCAGGTGCCAAACTCAGTGAGTGGCACCAATCGTTGCATTACTTTTAACATGTATTGACAACAAACGTAAATCCATCTTTTGTCACTGACTAGCGTGCCTCGTTTGGCAGTTGGATTGATGCCAAGTCCGTCCACGTCCTGATCCGTCTCGAACAAACTACAGAGTGTGATTTTGTGAGTGAGATTAATTACGGTTTGTCTTCTGTACGCCCACATCACACCAGTCCCTGTTTGCCTCGTAGGTCATGTGTCTAGCCCACCTGCCGGCTCCAGCGGCTGCCGCGGCTGTTGTCCAATCGTTTGGCCCCTCAAAGTTGGACTTAACTTTACCCGGAGGTTCGTTAACGTGAGCACCTTGTGTCCACACCATCCAAGTTGCCATATTTGTGACGTTTTATTGTCTTGCCTTAGTCGCAACTGGGTCGTTTAGCTTTGTGCTCGAGACCGCGTCCGTCCGCCTCGAGGCCCATCGACCTCGTTTAGACGAGCCGTCAGCCGTCAGCTGTGTCGATGACGAGACGTCAATACCGATTTCCGACGTCTTCGTCCACTCGGATTCAACGTTGAAAACCTCTCTCATATACGTCGATCAGCTATCAGCATGGGTAAGCCATCGGTTTAATGTGTCTACGTATTGCAACAATCAATATTATCGTTACAATTATTACTCTTGCATTACTCTAGTGTCACACAAACGTGATTGGTTTTCGCATTTCGGGCGTTGAGGTGGAGGTGGTATCTGCGTTAGTGGTAAATTTCTTCAAACACCTTCCGGAGGACGCGTTCGCCAGTGGCGGGGGGCACGCGAGGACACCAAAGTGGTTACCTGAATTCTCCACCCCCAACGCCGCCGCATTCTTCCATCGATTCACTCTAGATGGCCACTTTGAGAGCATGGTTGTGGGACTCCAAGCCTCCTGTGGACGTAAGTCATTGTCTTCTCTTCTGCCTCACCACCGTGCTCCCCACCTCTCAATCAATCAATCAATTTTCGCCCACCTCATTTTCGTTGCCTCGCGTAGCTCGGATTGTGTATTCACTGGCGACTGCTCACTCCTCAGCCTCCCCTCTGCCTCGCTGTTCTCCCTCCCGTTCCTCGTCGCTTTCAGCTCGGAGTGCATCCAGATCACATCAGCCTCTCTTTCTCGAATTCTCCTTCTCCAGAAGTGAGTTCATCTACCACCAGACCTCCGCCACCGCGCATTCTCTCCTTACACTCCCCAGCTTTCAAGTTTGCTGCAACGTCGGGCACAAGGTGAGACCTCTGCCACTAACGTTAGCTGAATGAACTTCCACACACTCTGTCTACACCACGTGCACTTTTTCCAACCTTTCAGGAGATGGAAGTCTTCTTCGGTGACGCCGTCGACCTGGCGTTCAATCCGGGTGTGCATCTTTGTGTCTGCGAGTTCCTCCTTCTCCTCAGAGTCCTCCGACTTCGACACTCCAAGCAGGAGGCAGTTGGTTTGGAGGTAGCTACCTTCTTCCCTCCCTCCCTCCCCCGTGTAACCACTTTCACCCCTTCTTGTTGCCTTCAGCCGAGCGCGTGGAATGTGGAGGTCCACAACACCGCGCACACCCGACTGACCTACGCATCCGGAAGGCACGTTGTAACTGCCCTCTTCAGCTCGGTGGATGCGCTACTCGGCAACAGTCCGATTCGTGGTCTTGCCTTGCGCCTGACGTCGTCGAAGTTGGTCGTCCAGTGCGACAATCGGGATATTGCTGTTCTTCAGGTAGGCTTCTGCGGACACCTTCACTTTCAGACCGCCCTTGCTTCGGATTGGTCACGCGACACCCCAAGAGGTCAACTTCAGCTCAAAGAGCGGTTTCAGGCTGCTTCCCGGCCACTCGTAGTAACTCGTCTTTCACAAACATGACTGTATTGACGTGTTCACATGTCAAGAGTTAATTCGGCTGCTGCATGAGTGTGTAAATTATTACGACAGGTGGATGCACTTCCGAGAAGGGAGTGTAGTGTACACGAGACCGTGAATAACATTTGTCTTAGTGCATTAAATTGTGCGCTTGTTATTTTGGCGAAACCGACGTCACTGCGAAAATGTTTGGTTTTTTCGCATAAAGCGTCTCAACTTGTTGACGTACTTTTAAACTGAAGAAAACACAGCTTTGACATGCAAAAAAAAGAGAGATAACGTCGTATTTTGGTGCGCATGGTTTTAAATGGCACCGTAAACACACTTTCATGCTTCCCCACACAATCAAAATCCGCGTTTTCTCACAAATCTTTAGACTTTACAAGTACATATTAAGGTGAAACAGATTTTTTGCGCCTTTTAAGCACAAAATTGTAATCATTTTCGCGTTTACTTCGTTTTCGACATTCGAAAATTGACTAAAATTAAAAACCTGTAGAAATAATTATTCATGCGTTGGAACCCACTCTGTAACCTGTCTGGGCTTTTTACCTGCTGCAGGCCCTAAGTCTTCAGCCTGATTCGTTCCTGGCTGCCCAGGTATTCCGGTTCAATAAACTCATGATGGCTGCTCAACCAATCACTGCTGTGCCTGAGGGTCGAGCAGTCTTTGAGAAACCTGTTTAATGACCACAGAACGTCACCTAGTTGAGAGTTCTTTCACCCCGACGTAGTCAAATGCTCACGTCCCTTTCTAAACATTGTGTTTAAGTATGACTGAATGTGGAGGTGTGTCCATCGTGCGTGAGCATGTGTACCTTTCTCTATCCCGCTAATTTCAACGTTTCACGTCTCTGATTGGCAGAATCTCGTTCTTCGCCGCCTTCCACCCTCGTCCGCTCACCGAAAGGTCGCCTTCCAGCTCACCACTCCCGAAAACACCTGCTTGTGAGTTGTACCAACTGATGTGCTCGAGCTCCACCAATAGCGATTAAGTGTGGGCTATGGACGACGCGCTGATTGGTCCACCCATCTCCCGCCGAACTTGATTAAATAACCAGTTGATAGTATCCTTGGCCGACCAGGCAACCCACTTACCAAAACGCCTCTCACACGAAGTAGCCACACAAATTAATAAGTGGCGCGAGAAACCTTAAGAGCCAAATTTAGCAGCCCTAGCATTCATCTGCCCCAACTGCCCTTAAATGTTGCCTGCTGTGCTGTAGCCTAGTTGCTCCTGGCAACGACCAAACATAATTTAAATTCACAAAAAAGGCGTGTGTGAAAATTAGCAGTAATGTGAATTTTGTGGCGACAAGTAGATGTCAAAATACGCGGGTAGCCTGCTGCGATAGTTTTGAGGACATGCCGAGGTGTGCTTGGCGAAGCTTCGCGCGTCGGTGCTTGAACCGTCTCCTGCCTTTTCTTCCCTCCCTAGGGAGTTCCACACCGAGGGCGTGCGTATCACCTTCCCCTACAACTACAAATTCAGTGAATGCTTCGACGAGGTAAGCTCAAAGTGTCCTGTTTCCAGGACAGGCAACTACTTCATCATCGTTCTACTCATTAGCCGACGGTCGTTTGATTAAAGCAAGGCTTTCGTGTGTTTTGACCACCCCAGAACTCTCAATTTAGTACTTTCACAAATCCTCGCCCCTCCCCAAGAGCTTGTCTAACTTTTATTCCGTGTTGTGACATATTTCCGTCCACCTTGCGTCAGTTCGTGAATGTGCGACGCATGCACAAGCTGGCCGCGAGTCCGAAATCTGCCTTCTTCGCTGACATCAAGCAGCTTCTAGCTACCTCCTCGAGTGGCGAAGGTCCGTCCTCCCGCATTCCTTGCGATTACGTAATCCGCGTCAAGGTAAACGCCTTCATAACACCATTGCTTGGCATAATCTTCCCTCTTTATCACCTCTCCTTCGTTTCAGAAATTCACTTTGGAAATCAAAGACGATCCCTTCGAGTGCAAGCTCAGTGATGACTTCATGGTACGCGCCGCCATGCTTTCTCCAAAGATGCTAAATTCGGGATCTAACTCACCATTGAACGGTTTTTCTTTGTAGGTCCTAATGGACGAGAGCGTTGAGCAGCAGAAGCGCGTGGCAGCCCTTACCTCCCAGCTGGAACGAAGTCGTCACCAAAACCGCGGTGTTGTCTCCGAGGTGGAGTTGCAGTCGTGCCTGAAACAGTTGGAATTCCAGCGAGCGGCCGAGTACATCGCGCGAATCCGACGCTTCTACTCGGGCTACACAATGGCCGACGACCTGTTCACCTGGTCCATGGACTCCGCCAGTCTCCACGTGTTGGCCGACGAGGCCTACAATTCGTCGGCGAAGGTCATCGCCGAGATTCAGCGCATAGACGACGTCAGGTAGAGTAGACAACCAGGGTGCCTGTTGATAGATCCCTTCCAATTGGTAAAATCGTGAGTCCTTTTCCACTCCAGCCCCTGGAACGACCTCCAGGCCAGTGATTTCACTCAACTCTGCTGCCGTCGCATCCACCTGAGCGTGGCGCGCTTTTGCTGGCAACTGCGTGACTACTCCAAGCCCCTAATCGACGCTGCCGATCTCACGGTAACCGGACCCTTCGCGGTTGCTATTCGCAAATCTGTCGACCGTCAAGGTCAACGGGACCGCGAAGTGACGCCCGGTGTGCCATGGGATCCGCCAGTAGTCACGATAACTCGTCACGTCTCTCCTGTCAAGTTCTTCTACGAACTAGTCGCGAGTGAGTTCGCCTTAGTTCGGTTGGCTGTTGCATCAAGTCATCTGTTAGCAGCCAGAATTGTCCTCTTCACCCCTGCCTTTTTTTTTATCAGACATGAAGGAGCTGTTTATTTGCTACGGATCGAATTGGGAGCCGGCTTGGACGTGGTTAAACCTCAGATTGGACGGCGTCCGACGCGTCTCCATGGACCCCTCGTTGCCACCGCTTGGCTGGTGGGATCGAGTGCGGCTCAATTACCACGGACGTCTGGCATTCACCTGTGACTTCATGTCCTGGCTCTACCCAACCAGTCTGGATCCCTACAACAACACCGAATTCCTCACCTTCCAGTGGACTCGCTCCATGTTCGACTGGACTCCAGGTTAGGCTCCCTTGTCATTCAGTCGTTGTTGGTCACTCAAATCCCCTCACAAATGGAGCGTGTCTGTCAAGGTGGTCACTCTTTTAAATTTCCCAGATATCGTGGCGATTCCTGACCCCGCTAATGTACGGAATTGATGGAATCTCCTTGCCGATTTAATGCCGGGCGGATTGTTGGTATTAGACCGTCTGTCTGCACTCAATCCAGTTCACGTTAGAGCGTAGTGTTTTGCTGTAGAGGCGGTGCCTTTTCCATGAACTCGCGTGGCACTCGAACAGCTGGAAATGACGCTTACCGTTAAATTCCGACGTGCCTAATGGTGTCTAAACACTGGAGGACCACCCTAGTCAACAACAGACGTGTCCGCCTTTAACCGGATTGGCCTATTTGAAATCGGTCCTTTAGGTGGATTTAACTGTCTCGTCAAACGTCAGCAAACACACAGCCGGTGTCATGGATTTACACGCCGTTCTATGCCAAATCTGACACTGTTCACGTTTTAGGCCGCGTTTTTGTAAATGGAGACCTGGATTTGTTCTTTCAAACGGCCTCCAAGTACGACGGGATCTGCCACGTGCTGGAAATCCAGGGTCTCAACTTTGAGTAAGTCCATGACTTCGTGAACTGGATCTGTTTCGCCTTCTAATTTCCAATTCGTTTGTTGTACTTTGCTTTCTCCATTATTCCCTTTCAGAGCCACTCTGGATTGGCTGTCTTTCGGGAACCAATTTGATCATCACGCGGTTGTGACCGTGAATGGCAAACGACTTAGCGCCAACGAACTAGTAAGTGTCATTTTCCTCAAAACTGATTGGCTGCTACGTCAACCAATGAGACAACGCCTCCAGTTGGGGTTTGCCCCCATACTCACAGACGCCTTTTCGTCAATGTCTTGCAGGCAACCCACGATTCCTTCAAGGCCTTCCGCGGTAATCGCCTCCTCCTGCGCCTCGCCTTCACTCTGACCGACCAACAGGTCCTGCCACCAAGGTGCTTCATCTATACCAACCTCCTCAAACTATTTGATCGCCTCAAAATGTGCCTCTCCCGCATCGCCCGGCCTATTCGCCGCGGTCCCGTCTTTCGTTGCATTCGACCCAGGAAACCGCTTTTCGGGCACCTTCTACAGTACGTCCTTTCAACCATCCTCCCCTCTTTGTGGGTGGCTATGGCAGGTACCTTTAGCTGAACCTCTATCTAGTGGTTTCTTGAAGATTCCTCAAATGCCCGACATGTTCGTCGAAGACTGTCCAAGCATCCAAATCTTGTTTGGTTCTCAAGTCTTGAAATAGGTCCCTTGTGATTGTCATATCGATTTTTCACCGTATCGTTCTCCCTCTTCCAAGGTGTTTGGAGCTCTCTGTTCAGCTGCCTCGCCTCGAAGTGACCTACTGGGTCTCCTACGCGATGCGATTGGGTGTTCACGCGCGCATGGGCGCCGTCACTTTGCGCAGCCTCTTCCGAGTCCACGTCGAGGGTGAACGCGAGACCATGACTGTGGACCAGAAGACTGTCTACGTGTTGCCTACAGCCAACCAGCATCGCCGTATTTCACCTCAGTGGAGTCTTCAGGTCGTCGATGCCCGCGTCCTCAATTGTCGCGCTTGGCTGCTCCACCAACCCGATCGCACCGCACTCCACCTCATTTCTGCCGGTGATGGCGTGAGTTCTTGTCCATTGAGGCTGCCAATTCGCTGAACTTGACCCTTTTTGTGCTTTACGCGCCTCCTCGAAGAATGTGTTTGTAAGCCGATACCAATTTACCTTAGTTGTGTGAAGTCTATTGAAATCCTACATTATCTGACAAACCTTCTACTGATTCTTTGATTCCGGGACATGGTAGACGTTTGTAGGTGGACTTTCCAGCTTGGGTTCTGAGACGTGGGCACTTGCATCACCTCGCGTTAATGTTTTAATGTAGAATGCGCCGAACTGGCACTGCCAAGACGCCAATGGCTTGCCCACTGCCTTTCCGCCCAACTCAGAACTACTCACCTTCTCGTCTGTGCGGTTTGAGCGCGACATCAAAAGTCGGACTGAACTGCCCGTCCAGGAAGTTCGTGTGCGCATCCCTGGCCTGGAGGAACGCGTCGTCGTGGATGAACACACCTCTTCTAATTCACCGGACCACGCAACTCCCGGCAAACGTCGACCTTCCAGAGTTCAATTTTCCCACGAAGACGTAAGTCGTCTGTCATTTTTATGAAATAGGCGAAATCGGCATCGTGTTCTGGCGGATTTGGCAAATTCTAGTTGTGCGTCTCTAATTTCCTACGTGGCTACCCTCTTATTTGATCACGAGTTCCTAGTCAACTATTGGCTGGTGCAGGAGCCAATCAGCATTGACTCCCGAATTGGCAGCCAATCCGATTCTGTTTCTGTATTTTATGAAACATTAGTGGTTTGGTGCACAGGAGAAATCATCATCGTGTTTTAGCGGATTTGGCGAATTTTAGTTGTGCGTCTTTTGTAAACCTTACCTGGCTTCGATTGGTTTCCTATTGAATGGCCTTTCCGGAACGGTCACGAGTTCCTAGACAGCTATTGGCTGACACAGGAGCCAGTCAGCATTGAGGGCTGTGCCGTGGCCCGTTTGATTCCCGAGATTGAATGATCTAACGCGGTTCTGTTTCTGCATTTCCTCCTAGTTGGAGCCGGTCCACCGCGTTCTAGTGGAGAACCCGAAGATGCGCTGGAACGAGACCAATCGCAACCTCGTCTACGCCATGATGAACATATACAACCACGCCCAAGCCCTGAAGAAGAATCTCTCCGCCCAGGCGCTGAAGGGCATCTCCCTTAGCCCCGACCACACGGCCATCGATTCGGGCAATAAAGAGTACGTTTTCGGTTACTACTTAACTGTCAATAGATGTCACGGGAGATATTGGACTTGGTGTTTATGTTTGCAGCGGTTTTTATTCCCAATCCAGGTCTTCCTACCAACCCGTAACCAACTCGATTAGTGAAAATGAAGAATCGATGTCCCTAGGGAATGACGGCATCGTGGAGTCGCAGACGCCTTCTGGGAACGCGGCTGCCTCGAAATCGGCAGACCTGAAAGCTGTGCAGTCGGTGGAAGACGAGAACTCACTGTCTCCCTCCTCCTCCGTGTCGCGCGGCGACGTCTTGACGGCCAACACAGCCGCCGCCGCCGCCTGCGGCTGGAAGAACGTCCCTATGTTGGCTCGCCTTATTGAAGAGGCCGAAACGGCAAAGTTCTACGCCTATTGCGAGGAGGTAGGTGGCTCGCTTGAGTTGTCCGTGCACCAGAATTCGCCTTTGATTGCCTTGCGTTACACACACACACGCCTTCTGGTACTCTACAATGCGATAATCTGCAGATAAGGTTTCGATTCCTTTGTGGTTTTGGTCACTGATTTGTGTATGCTGATGCAATGAACTTCAAATGTTCAAACACAATGCCATGTGACTGAATTAAGCCCCTTTTTTGCGGGAATCCGTCGAGCTAAGAAGCCCGCCAATTTCTGCATAAATTTGCGACCTAACGACGCAAAACATGGGCCTCTTAATGTTTTCGTGCAAATTGTGGTGTTTTGCTTTCGTAGGAGCCGAAGCAACCGGATGTCCTGGACCAGCTCCAGGGCCTCTCACTCTGCACCTCCTGTCCGGTGCTCTCTCGTCAGTGGCACATCGAATTAATAAACACCCAGGTACGCCTTCAATCCACGCTTCTCGCCAAAATCTGGAGTTCGCCTGCCTCCTCTCACCTCATTGGTTTTCCCCGGGGTGGTGGTCTACGGTGATTGGTGGATGTACACACCTGAGCCAACCAATCACTTGCTCGCTTTTTGTAGGTCATGCTGAAGCCCAGCGAGTGCGCCGGCTACGTGATAGTGTCGGCGGCGAAGGCGCGTCTCGACTCAGTGGAACATCCGCCGGTTTGGCGCGATGCTCGCCTCCTCGCCAAGTCGAGTCTCGTTGGACAGATGGAATGCATGCAGTACTACGCCACTGTTGGCGGTGTGAGTTGCACACACACTTAAACCATTTGCAGGGCAGCGCGGCATGCACCTTAGCGGGACGCGCATTCTCTGCGCGTGTGTTTTTTGGTATTAACGATGTACACACACCAGCGCTCAGTGTGAGTTGGGTGCAGTGACGAGCGAGGTTACCCGCATCGCTTGGCTGTGTAATTGATGTGCGCGTCTTAACCATTTCTATGCGTTCTTGCCACGATCACGTTTTGAATAACATGAAGTACACCGTTCTTCTGAAGGCCAATGAAATCAATTCAGGTGGGAACGGTTCAAATCGGGGCTTCTGTTAGGGGTCAAGGTCGGACAAGTCGCATTAGCGAGGTGGTAACTAGCGCTACACCCGGTTGCAGACAAGACTTCGCTACTGCGCTTACCCATCGTAGCTCAGACACGCTGAATCCATGACGCGTAAATGACGATTAGAGAAGTTAAGTGATGTATGGGTGTTATCCAAAAGAATGTGTCCTACCGAGCGGGGACTTACATAGGGAGATGACAATTAGCCCGTCTCTCTTAGATAGCCACACCATCATGCTTAGCTACCAGGCACACGATAGAAGAATAGCTGGGAGAACCGGATGTATTCCATACTGCCGCATGCAAACTCAGAGGGCAAGAGCTTTGAGTGAGTTAGAGTGGGGAAAGGGATGGCCGCGAGGAGGGTTGGCGTTGCCCTCGGACTCACGGGTGTACCTTGAGTAAGGCGAGAGTGCCGGGAGGGAAGAGGAGGACAAGGAACGGGCCAGACCGGCGTGCGTCACAAGTGAGCGAATTGCATGAGGCGCTCAGCGTGAATCATAATTAAAACAACAGATAAATCAATGATAAATTAATTTGTCAACTATAAGCTGCTAGATAGACCCTTCGACAGGCTGAATGTTCCTAAATCTGCATTGTGAGTTACTGGTTAAAGTCTTACACCGAGTAAACCCTTTTGAATCGATTTTAATGCATCACGCCCACATACCCCTTGTCTGCATGCTATGGAAATTGCGGAATCGTCCCAGTGTGTATCTTTCAGCTTCTCAATGTAACCTTTAATCTGACAAGCCTTCAACGAATATTTCTTGGTTTTGTGCACATTTCTGGCCAATCAAATTGGACTTTGGGAAAGTCCTTTCTACGATGAACATGCGTAGCGCGCGTGGTGGGTTTACAGAGCCTTTTTATAAGAACCCAGGTACTTTTCTTGTCCTTTATGCGCCCCCGTGTCCCTCCAGCTGGATGCCTCAACGCCCGACCAATGGCTGTCGACAGCGGACGTGCGTGATTGGCAGCAGCTGGGCACGGATTTCGGCCAGGACGCGCTGTCCGGTCGGCCGGAGGTGGTGGGATCGGGCCACGCCGTCGGGGGTGTCGTGAGTGCTGCTCCCACCAACTTGACTGCGTCCACGCAGAACATCCAACTCCAGCGCATGGTGTCGCGCTGTGCCTGCCAGTTCGTCTACGTCACCTACACCCCCGTCGAACCGGACTGTCTGCCGTCTCCCCGAGTCGTCCCGCCATTGGTCAGTGACTGGCTACCTGATGATTTTTATTGCTCTTATTACTTAGACATCTACTCCTAGCATTTATCGATCGTCAATCGATTTGCTCTGCCCTTTAGCCTCCCGAAGATGGCGATTCAAAGATCCTTCAGAACCAGGAAGGCGCCGACACCTTCACCCTCCTTCACCGCACCCTCAATCTTTGCACGAATTCGGTGAGTAGGCAGCGCGTTCTTCCGACGCATCCCTTTGCCGTCTGCTTTCTGTAATCCACTCGTTTTGCTTCAGCTGCAATACAGCATGGTCTTCGACATTGTCAACAACCTCCTGCTCTACGTTGAACCCAAGCAAAAGGTTCGTTGGCCGGGCATGCAGTACACACCAACGCCATGCCTTCATTTTATTGGTCAATTTGAAAAAGTTTGCTTTTAAAAACTAGTACACGATTCGCTAGCCCAGTCAAGTCGCCATTTATAATTTCAGTACATGTGTAGGCGTTGTTTGTTCAAATGTCCAACGTCACACGTGGTTTTCGAAAGGATCTTAAAACACCCTAGTTATTGGCTCAAACTTGCCTTTGTGCAAATGTTATGCCTCCTCACGGCCTTCTTAATAACTGTGCCGACGGATGCGCAAACTAAGATTCTCGACACCTACTTCCTGCATCGCACGCTTTTTGAAAGTGTCCACAAACCCTGTAGTTTTGTCCGAGTTAACGCAGAAACTGGAGCTTTGGCGCGTGTCTGTGCGTCAATCTCGGACAATCTCATATCGATTTCGGCCACTTCTTTACACAACCAATTAAATGTCTTCAAATATTGCTCTGAGACGGCAAGCCACCAACACTAGTCCTTCAACGTATCGTATACTGAATGCGTCCACTTCAAGCCGTGCTAATTGCCTTTCCGTTTAGGAGCGTTTCGAACGAAACCGCGTCGGACTGAGCCTTCTAGACGAGCGCGAGTTGAGGAAGTCGATCCTCACAGACCAGGAGACCCTTCGTGCGATGGTCAACATGCAGAGGGCCTACGAACGCGATCTGTGGGCGCTGCTGAGGGAGTTTGACCAGCTCCTGCGAAACACACAGCCCACTCTCAAGCTATGCGAGTTCTTCGATGGTCCGACTCGTCATCTGCCGACTGCGCTGTCCGCTCAAACTGAGCAAATTCTGTTAGTTCTCATCCTCCACGTATTGTCGTGGCGTGAAATTACTTTGCGTGATCGTATTTCAGGTGTACTGAAGTGAAAATTCCCCTTTACTTTCCCTGCACTGCATTTTCCTTGCCTTAGGGCTTTTGAAGAGAGGATCGGTCAGTTGAAGGCGAGTATTGTGGCGAAGAACTCGCTGCTTTCCCAGAGCATCGCGCATTTTCAGCGGGTCCACGTCCAATCCCAGCGTCTTCAAGGCCAAATCGCCGCCAGCGTCGTCAGAGAAGCCGTCGGAAGTCGTCAGAGGGAAACTGCCATCGTCGGGAGTAAGTGCTGGAACTGAGGTCTTGCTTTTATGTCGAGCGCTTGATCGAGCCTGTTTTTATTGTTTTTGCCACCTCAGCCTGCAACAGCAACGCTGACACCCAGCCGTCACCCCAGCCGACGACGGGCCTGCTGGACGAGGAGGAGATTGTGCGTCGCGACGAGGTCTGTTTCGAACACGCCCGCTGGCGCATGACCGAGCTGGACGGCCAGATCGGCCTGGCGGACGTCGAGTTGCGCGGCTTCCTCTACTCGCGCACCCACCGGCGCGACGTCTCCGGCTCGCACAGGTTCCAGCTCGGCTCCATGCGCGTGCAAAGTCTCGCGCCAAACTCGTACTTCAAAGTACGTCGTCTTTCGACTCTGCGTTGCTCGCTCGATCATCCCGAAACCTGATTGGTCAGGCCTTCTAGTGCCTCAAATCTTGGCAGCCAATAAAATCGGCTCCACATTCTAGGGGTGGTCAGGCAATGAAATGATAGCGCGGTAGATGTGAAATAACGTGGGGTTGTATGATTGGCTGGAGCAATAGCCAATCGGGAATGTCGACTCCTGCTTCCATCTCTTCCGTTCGTGAAGCTGTTTAGGAGTTTCACGCCTACAAATACCGCGGTTTTAATCAAAAAGCGAGTGACAAACTTCGTTCGGTAGAACTGCCCGTCTTTCGTGCATTGTTTTGTCTTATTCCATAGGAGGTATTGCTGCCGGATACCAGCAGTTACCACTACACCGGCGGACCGATGATTCGAGTGGCCTGCACCCAGCGACCCCCAGTCGGCGGAATTTCCGTGAAAGAGGTCATGGAAATCAGCGTCACGCCTCTTGTCTTGCAGGTAAACACCTTCTTCTACTTCCACCAATTTCCACGTCTCTGAAGCTCCCTCTGGCATTCAGATTGAATTCTCCGAGTTCGTTTATCGCCTTGTAGGTCAGCAAGCAGTTCTACAACAAGCTGATGCCCTTCTTCTTTCCCGAACGCGGCAACGAGGAAGCACACCATCACGGACAGAGCGTCGATGCTTGTGGCGGTGACACTGCTGACTCAGAGACCTACCCACCTCCCTCAGGTCTCCTTCGGATTGGCTCCAGTCGGCTCGCGTCCGACGTCGCTGCCTCGCCTTCCATGCCTCCCGACGACAACGCCTCGGCCGGTACGCACTCAGCTATGGTTTTTAGACACAGAATGCAGTGAAAGTTCGCGAAATTGGTCGACATCTGGGATTGTTGGACTTGTAGATGGCACTGTGAGGTCTAAGCGCGAGAGAGGCGGCAAGCTGATGGCGCGCTTCGATCCAAAATCGTGGAGCGGACGACTTCGTCCACACTCCGTTCGCATTCGCGCCAACGACACCACCACCGCCCACGCCGCTTCGCCTTCCGCCATTAGAAGGCGTCTCGGGGGAGCCAACAGGCCCGTCCACCATCACCACCCGCATTACGGGGTCGTCGGAGAAGCTGGGGTTGTTGCCGAAGATGCGATTGGCGACGCCAATCTGACCGTGGAACAGACCCTCTCTGTGTACGTCCATCTCCAGCCACTCTGTATTAAACGTGCTACATATATTATATAAGTAGAAATGTGTTTTAGACCGAACCAAAGTGACGTTCCGTCGGTGTTCACAACTGTTGCTTCCAGTGAACGCTCAGCGCCAAGTCAAATGCACACAACAACCACTGTGGTCCTCGACTCTACCGGGACCTCCACCGTTGAGCCAGCGGTTTCAACTCTGCCTATCGATGTAATGAGGGTAGGTTGTGCTCCTCTTTGTGTGCACGCAACTAGGCAACGCTTCTTAACTTGTCAAAATCTAATTTCGCATCATTTTGTTGTCCTTTTAGGAACGTGCTCGGCGAAACCACGTTTTCTTATACATCAAGATACCAAGTTTTCCTATTCGGCTGAGTTACAAGGTGTGTTTTGTTCGTGTGTGAATTTTGACGCCACTTTCGTTGTGTCCGATTATTTGTGGTAATGACATTAAGTAACGCACAATCAACGCTTTCGGTCATTTGAAAGAACATGACATTGTAACTCGCTCAAAATTACGCGGAGATCAAGCGTCATACTGTTTCAAACAAGTCGCCACCTTACTTTTTTAAACATTACGCTGAAAATTAGTGCTAGTACCTGGTCATCCAAGAACAGTGTTTAGAAAAAGATATTCGATTTCGGAGATGAGTGGATCGAAAAAAGAAATTTTTAAAAACGACGGGTACAGCGGCTTTAGAATGGAAGGTTTATTCCGAACAACATTCACGCAATTTGAGGACTACTGGATCAACTAGAACGAAAAATACTGATGGAGTTATCGAAATGTTTAGTAAAACCGCTAAAAATTATAAATTCTCCCATCAAAAGGATCAGAATTTGCTCAGAGCCGTGTTAACCAATGAGAACACAGCTTTCAAGGTAACCGGGGCACCACAAAATCGTGCTTGAATGCTATTGGTTGACGGCAGGGCCAATGAAGTGTCGCGATATTTTGTTTCACGTGCTTGTGCTTTACTGCTTGCTTGCGTATCGGATTATTGATCCTAACATCGATTCGCGTTTTGTATTAATGCGTTCTACCGGGGTTCCGTTTCGCCCTATCGTCTTTCGTAATTTCATTAAAACCGACTGGTCTTGTTCAAGGTCGTTTTGATCTAAAATCAAACAAGCTCTCATCCCTTTAAATTCCCATCGAAAATTTTTCATTATCCCGCAGACCAGACCTAAAAAAACTTATGAGAATTAGTAATTGAGTCCTTGGTTAAAACCTCTGAACGTGTGAAGTGTTGCTGCCACATTTCCGGCCTGCAGTAAACCACATTTTGATGAATACAGCTCCACCCAATTCCTTTTAAACGCCATCGATTTCTCAGCCTCCACGTCGATTGTGTACCCCTTCACTTGTTTGTGTTGCCAGGGCGACAAGCAGAAGAACCTCGCCGACGTGACTGGCTTCGAGTTGAACATTCCCATGCTGGAGTACCACAACCGTCTGTGGACGTGGTTGGACTTTTTGATGGAGGTCAAAGTGCGTGTTCGCAAGCAGCTCATCAAGGAGGTAGGCACCCGACGTCTCTCCTGGTGCATTTCAAACCCCCCGAGTACTCATTGAGTGGTTGTTGTTGTTGCTGTCGTTCAGGTGATCAAGCAGAAACTGCGTCCGCGGCGGGCCTTGTCCTGGCACAACTCGCACTCGGCGCTGAGCGACCGCGTCCCACCGAACACCACCGCCACCACCACACCCGCCACCGCCGCCTCGCCCAGCCACCACGTTAACCGCCACCCCACCTCCACCAACTCCAACTGTCAAGTCGCGGTGGTGGTGGACGAGAGCCGGAAACGCGAACAGGAGGTGCTGGAGCTCATCCTCGGTCGTCATGCTGCCGAGAATCCCGTAGGCTTCGCGTTCTTTGCCACTTCAGCACTACTTATTTTCCTCTTCAGCGTCTCCAGTTAGTAAAAAATGAAGTCAATTTTAGCAGAATCGATTTCTAGTTTTGCGTCTACTTTTGATGTCTGCCTCATTAACAAAGTCTGTCACCATGAAGAAATGCCCCCAACAATATAATCACAACCGTTCGTTCATCGATCGGGCAAGATGTGGCTTTGTGTCTGTGGGCGAACAGGAACCAATGAACGGTGGAGTAGGCGCCACCAATCAGCTCTCAGCAAACCTGTCCGACAAGCCTGGCTGTTCACACGCCTCCACCGACCGGTTACGGCTTCAATTTCAGCCAGCACAAGATCGTTGTCTGCTTGCATAGATCTGCACGTCGAGTATTCATAACAAGTGGCACTCACGACATTATTAAAGTTTAACTTTGTATGATGGTGTTCAAAAACTCTTTCTGAAGCCCTGAATAAAGTCGATGTCTAAATCTGCTTACTCTTCCCTTTCAGCGCCAACCATCCGGTCGCAAAAAATTCCGCGTATTTCGATGAGACCTCCAGCGTTTCTGCCTTGTCTTTTTTTCGATGCTGAATTTCCCCTTACACTCCTTCCGGCTTGTAAAGTGCAAATACACATTCACACCTTGGTTGCCACACTTCATCCACCACTTGCTGTTGGAATTTTCGAGTTAAGAAGGGCTCCACTCTGTCGATGCTGTCAGTACCAAATCGAATTAGCGCTAAACCTATTAGTCAATGCCAATCCTTAATTTCAAGCGGTGGAAAAGCCGCGTCTACTCGGCTTCGGGGCTCGTCCAGATGCGTGATTGATTTTTACTGGTAATGCAGGGGCCTAAATTAGCACTACCGCGAAACCCTATAATTAACAGTCGGTCACAAGCCGAGAAGAGGGAAGACAGGTGGACAGAGAACCCAACCGTCCATTGGCGTCACGCCAGTCAAGTAACGTCACGTAAAATCGAGAAACTAACTTCAGTGCGGGGACCAGTACGCGTGCGTAACAGGCGACTGCTAACGAAAATCAATAACAAAGAGGGTGAGTCATGGAGAGTCAGTCGGGCGAGCATACACGCAGCAGTCACGCGCGAGCGGTGGCTGTCTGTCCACAACAGTGCATTCACAAAAAAAAATCGATTGATTTGTGTTCGCCCGCGCTTGAAAACTGCGCTGGCTTGCTGGTCGCCTCAGTGACCTTGGGCTGACCAACCACAATTCCGGTGGCAAGTCTGCTCGTTACTTCGACTAACCTCAACAAGGCCATGCTGTCTATTGACTAATGTGAATGCGGTGACTCTTAATCGCATTGCTACCCTATCTGACCTCATTTTGCACCAAAAGGTTTGTCCTAAGCACGGGAGAATCAGAAGAATAATGCTAGCATGTACAAATAGTTTGGAGCAGGCGTTTGTTAAAAGGATTTCATGGTTATTTTCCTCTCACGTGAATCCCACTAGATTAATGCGTATGTAGCATGTTACAAATTCAGTGTGAGTGGGCGAAATCGCCGCTGTTTCTAATGCCTAACTAAATATGCGTGTTTGGCACACTCAGTCGGCGTTATTTGCCGTTACAATGAGGCCGAAAATCCTTACATTCAGCATCAGTAAATACACACAACAAATAGGCGTAAACAAAGGCGGAGAATAAAACGGCCCGAGTGCTCACCGGTGACATCAAAGTAACACCGATCAGATGCGCTGGATCGTCGTTTTCGTGGTTTGCGTTATCGCGGTTGCCTGGGCCAACGGAGTCCGCGTCGATTTCGGCAACGACACTAAGGCCACGACGTCTTCTGTGTCCTCTCGGAGGCAACGTGTGCCAACAGCCCCACCGCCACATCTGCCAACAGCCCCACCACTGCCACCGCCACATTTGCCAACAACCCCATCACTGCCACCGCTACGTTTGCCAACAGCCCCACGACGGTCACCGCCACGTTTGCCAGCACCCCCACCGCCACCACCACATAGGCGGCCGCCTTCTGTGTCCCCTCCGGGGCCACATTTGCCAACATCCCCACCGCCGCCACCACCACCGCCACACATGCGGCCGCATCATTGCTGCCCTTTCAGTGGCGTTTGCCGCTACCCAATGCGCAGGAATTACTTCTGCATGCACTAATTCAGTTTAACCGCATGTTGCTCTCCAAAAGCCTTTTTTCCGCACAAATAAAACTTTTTTTCTCGAACCTGAAGGCGGTTATTTGACTTAAGGGTAGCGCTAACAAGGTTAATACTGCCCTCTTATAAATGGTCACTTGTTTTTATTTATTAAATGAATTCATTCCGTGCTCTGATCAGAAAAACCTAGGAAACAGGTTGTTGTTGATCTTGAGAAGATTGTTTCTTGACAAAGTTAACAGTTGTGGCTTTTCAAATTGCCCGCCTCCTCAGTCGTCCCCTTTAAAACAACTAAAAGTAAATTTAAAAGGTTGCTAACTACTGAAAGCTACAGCCATGGGAATACTTCCTTGGTATTTGCACATCTCGAGGCAGGACAGATTTTTGAAATAAATATTAGCCGCAGGCCTTAATTTGTACTGATTGTTCAGCAAATTTATTTAACATGAAAAATAAATAACGGCAAACTAAATCTTGGAAATACTGTCCATCGTTCTCCACGCCATCTCCTAAGTAACGCACTAATGCCGTCGTGAACGAAATTTGAAGGATTTTAGGCTGTAAAGTCATCGACGAATTTACGCAAGCCGTCCAGCGTACTGACATGTGTGTCCACTAAGGCGTGCTGCTGAATTTGCCGACACAAATGGTAGCCGGTTGAGGCCAAATCTGGTGAATATGCCGGGTGTGGGAGAACTTCCCCTCCCAAGTTCAAGAGGGTCTTCTGAGTTGGGCGCTGTGATGCAGTAGCATGATGCGCCAGTAAATGGGCCTTTCTGGTCAAGTTCTTCCCACCGTTTGTTCAATTGTCGTCGTACACCCTTCCTGTCCCACAAAATACACAGGAGAACCTTCTTCCGATGGATGCACTAGTTCGGACTGGCAAGAATATATCCACATCTGGAGTCTCGGAGTAGATATTCTTTTTATGATCTGTCAATTTTCTACAGACAGTTCAGTCACTGCTTGTTGATGGTGGCAAGCAGTGGAAGGGATGTGGCCATACGTTGACCTTGGTTGCATCGGCATGTTGCGAGCAACAAGCCAGCGCATTTTGCAAGCGCGAGCGAATGCAAATCAATCGATTTTTTCGTGAATGCACTGCAGTGGACAGACAGCCACCGCGCGCGCGTGACTGCTGCGTGCATGCTCGCCCGACTGACTCTCCATGACTCACCCTCTTTGTTATTGATTTTTTGTTTGCAGTCGCCTGTTACGCACAGTAGTCAGTTGCTCGATTTTACGTGATGTTACTTGACTGGCGTGACACTAATAAACGGTCGGGTTCTCTTCCCTCTTCTCGGGTTCTGACCGGCTGTTAATTATAGGGTTTTGTGGCAGTGCTAGGTTCGGCCGCTACAGGCTTTTGCGTTGAGTCTCCTTCCAGTAGAGCTTGCAATTGCTCAATTCCAAGCTTTCAAGGCTGTTCACCACTTCTAAACAGTTTGCACCAATGGTTACAAGTTTAATAGAACCATTTTGTCCGTTAGTTGGAATTTGAGTGGAATGTGGTACCATCGAATGTGCCATTACTCAGTTGTCGTCTCTGACCTGTTTTGTCACTCACGTGGACCTGTCCTTCGGTGTTGTAAGATCTTGCATCCTATCCTTTCAAAATTTACAAAAGACCGTGAAAATTTGGGTATTTTAAATATACTACCATTAATTTTCCGGTTTTACTTTCCTTCTCATAGGATGCCGTGACGTGTGCTGTCATTTCCTCGGAGGCGTCTCTTGACCCACCCCCTCCTCTGTGCCTCTGTCCTTGCCTCCGTTTTCGCCGCCACCACTGCCAACAGGCGAAGTCCCTCGCTTTGCATCGCCGACGAATCAGCGGCGACGCAGGAACCGGCGTCGAAATTAGACTCAGCCTCCTGTCTGTACATTATCCTCCCCTTTGAGTCTGCACTCCCCTCCTACCTTGTATCCCTACTCCTCCTCCCCCCTTCTTGAAAAAACCACAATTTTCACGAACACCCTCGTACTCTGTTTGCCCCTCTCTGTGTGGACACTGGTGTGTGTGCGTGTTTGTGATCAGCACCAGACAGAGTATGACCCCAAGTCAGTGAATGCCGTTTTGCCGGCTGTAATATCTCTTTTCGTTTAAATACACTGCCAACGACGTTTGCTCTGTCAACGTTCTGTTAGTGGTTTTGATATGTGGGGGTTTCTGGTTCAGTTGCCGTTCAATGCCGATTGACGGAGAACGCTAGCAGACAACGGGATCGTGTTCCGCTGGAGGATGAGTTAGCCAGACTAGATGTGATCGCCTCCTTCTCATCTGCAAGTACCTCAGTGAACCCAAGGGTCCACACTTGCTTCCAAACTCTTGAATACCACTCGCAGAACATGTGTGACCTGTTTCCAGATGTGTACCTTTGACGATAAACGTGCACGTAGTGATGCCGCTGATTACTCTTGGAGGGTTAATCGGACGTAGCATTTTCGAATTTGATCTTGTCGATTTCTGTCGAAGTGATATCGACCCCATGGAAGATTGTCAACCCAAACCGTACCTGAGGTCGAAATAAATCTTCACTGTTTCAACTGCTCAGGTGAAGCATGTTCTAGCATCACTGCCGTTGATTTAACCTAATTGCCACACGGGATTCAAACATTATAAGCACCAAATTTTGGTGCTGCTTCTGCAATCTGAGTAGCGACACAATTGTAATTCACGTTTTCATACATCAAAATTACTCTTATTGTTTGATTAAGCAATATCGTATTCAAAAATTTCCGCCTGTTGATGTGTGGAACGGTTCACAGTGCAGATTATTTTATTGACCCAATCGGATCCGGCAAATGAAGCACCAACTCTCTGCCATTGGCCTTTCATCGACGTCTCAAGTCACTCACATTTAGTCTGGCAAATATGCAATTTAGCCGCACACATCGTGAGCATGTGGGGTTTAAATTTCTTGTCTGCAAATCGTTCATTCTATCACATAGAGTTTTTGGCATTTGCAGTTGAAATCGGCGGAGAAATGCACGTCTTCCAGACGGTTGCAATCTAACGAGATTTGTTGCAAGAAGTCAAGTTCTGTGAAACCAGTTCTTTGTTTAAACCATTTACCAACCATACTAGCACGAGCTCGAAGGCAACTTCAGCTGGCGTCTTTGCATCCGGTCTTGTTAATTTCTGTGAAAGGAAAATCGACGCCCATGGGAGATTTTCAACCCAACCCGTACCTTCTAAATTCGTAGGTAAAAATCAGTGGTTAATCACTGATTATTAGGGTCCCAATGTGGACATCCATCAGAAGCACGCCTAACCAACTCTTCGTGAGGACTTATTGATAATTAGTTGGTAAGATGGTGAAGCTGACATGAGTGTGAGGGGCGCCGCCACTTTCCTGAAACGTCCGTTACCCACGTGCATTTTCTTCTTGTTAGAATTCGTACCAAAAGCAGCGCTATGAGTGCTGCTCGTCAATTGCCATCGTAAATGGATGTTCTGAGAGATTCTGCAGGTTCCGATGTTCTGGAATCTTGCATCCGATCCCCTCAAAACCAAAATTTAACCGAGAAAAAAAAAGTTGCTTTGCAGAACCTCAAAAATGACAAATAATTCCCCTAGATTCATCGATTTTTTGAACCTGTGCTTGACAGAACAGGCTTTTAAACCGACGCTGTAGGTGGCGTTATGTGGAGAGGCAGAATTTAGCAAGATATCGTGATGCCACATCGAAGGAGCTGCAGCGACAGCAAATTCATCTAGTGACACGCTATCTGGCAGAAGGTGTTAATGTGTTTACTGCGGACATCAATACATCGGTCTTATTGGTTAAAATGTACATCGCAATTTACGATAATTGAAAAATTGACGTGGTGTCTTACGCGTACTCAACATGGCGCCACTAGCAAAATTTAATTACACAGATTGCTCTAGGCTCCCGTGTCATTGGACCAGCTCAAGGTCGACTTGAATGCACACAGGGTGCAAGGAGGTTTGATCGCAGTTTGTCAAACAGATTAGAGTGAGTTCATACGCCTTCATTTTTGTCAAATTTTCCGATTTCTAGTAACTACGAATTACCTAAATAAACACTATGTCAAATGAATTTATTAATAATATAAATGCAAGTGAATTTGTAAATTCACATGGCTTTCGATAATCAAGTTAAGGGCAATTGGTATTCTCGTTGTTGTTGTTGTTGTTTACACACAAGAAAACATTTGCTTTTTTAATAACTTGGATGATTTGATTAACTCGGCAATCTAGGATTTTTTACTGGCTACTTTGTAAGAGCGATTTCTGAGTTTGCATGTAATAGTTTATCTAAAAATCATCTCTGACACTCGATTCGACGTTATTAAATCTCTACCAGACGTCGCTAACTCGATATTTTGTCTACGCTATATATCACTGTTAATATGCTTTGTCAGTTCTGACCAATAGTCGATACTTCACTTTCAGTATAGCCGGAATAACCATGTCCTCGGCCGGCGCTAACTTCGAAGCAACCAATCCCGAAGAGTTCAAGAAAATGATCACCACATTCCGCGAAACCATGGTGAAAAAGTGCAAACCTCTGCCCGGAGATCCTGACTACTTCACTTCTGACCTCATGTGAGTCAGCAATTGACTTGTTATTCTGTGTGGAGTGAGTCGTCCTTGATCTTGGTGATCAAAATTCAAAAAACCCGCCTAGTTTGTGCCTTAATTCCTTAAAACAATCGGGCCTATTCTTTGTCCATTTTGTGAACAAATCGCATCATAGCTCCGTCTGCATAGCTCATATTCCGCCTATTCCAGCCTGACGGATTTCCTGCGGGCTCGCAAATACAAGTTGGACGCTGCCATCGAGATGTTGACAGCAGCAGTTGAATGGAGGCGCCAGTACCAACCGCTCAAGGTCGACTGTCAGTTTTGTCACGAGAAACCAGGATTCCATTGCATAGTAAGTTCTTTTAGAGATATTTCGCCAATCGCACACTCTCCACAAGTATATTCCAGTCACCCAAGGTTTACCAGACACCTGGCTAAACCAGACAAGCCTCTATTTTTGTGCTTTCTCGTTGCCATAGCGACAAATCGGCCACGACAAGTTCGGTCGGCCCGCGCACTACGCCTGTTTCGCCCAGGCCTCCGCCACCAGAAACCACGCCGACGACACCATCGCCCACTGCGTCCAGCTGCTCGAAAATGCGCGCCTCACATTCAAACAGTCGGCGACCCAGGTGGTGTTCATCTTCGATTGCACAGGCAAGTGTACATCCGCGCGATATCTGCTCACCCCCACCCACTCCCTGTTAGCTGACTACAAAGAGCACTTGTAAGCTCAGCGTTGGCAACCGCCGCCGTCGCAAATCAGACCCACATCAATCTTGTTTCTTTGTGCCATTGTGTGTAAGTGGGTATGTGGGTGGTACAACACTGAAGGGTGAGGTTTCATTTAAACTCTCAATGCTGATTGGCTGGAATCCGAGTGCGCAACAATTGGCTGCCTGATGGATACAAAAACGCCGCTACCCGGTGCCTGAATGGCACTTCAAACAGCAATTGAGAGTTAACGGTTTACGCCAAAAATGCTAACATCATGCACACGCGTACCTTTTCCAATCATGCCGGTTAAAATAAATGAATTGGGATGTGTGTGCGCGCAAAGAATCAGCAGTGTTCACCACATTAGTAGAAATGCCTCCTCCATTGTTGTTTGCAACCTCAACATCGCACTTTTTAATTCCACCAATCGCTTTTCGCGCCATTTCTAAACCAATCGGGCCGCGAGTAATGTAATGTTTGCACCAATTAGGCATGACATTGCCCTGCTGCAATCCCAACCTCGGCAAGAAGGTGATGCACGTGTTCGCCAACTACTACCCTGAGCGACTGGGAGCAGCCATCATCGTCAATCACAAATCGATATTCCAATCGATTTGGAGGGCCATCAAGAAGTTCCTCGACCCGGTGACAGCCAACAAGATGATGTTCTTGAAGGACAAGCAAGTCGCTTCGGGTCTGCGTGATTACTTCGACGAGGCCACCGCGAAGTGGCTGGAGACGGAAATCGCGCTGAACCGCGACATCACCGAGGCGCAGCTGCGGTTCTGGGAGAAGCCGTCGTCGAGGATCAGCGATCACGATCCGCGAGGCTCGCCGGCCTACATCAAAGAATTCATCGACACCACACCACCGAACGGCTACAAACCACATCCAAATATCACGGATCTGCAGACAGGCAAGCTGGCGGCCGGCTACCAGGTCCAATTGAAGCCAACCAAGGGGCAGGATAAAATCGATAAAAATCAGCTGTTTGAGTACGGGATCGATAGTGAAGACGTCGTAGATGATAGTGACAGCACCGACTTTTAATGGTATCAGCTTTGGCACTTGTAATCGATGTTAATGGTTCAACCTAATACGACTTTGCTTACAAATAATACAATTCATTCATTTGTTTGGTACTACGTCTACTGTTACATTTTGAGTAGCAAAAACATCTAAAAATATATTTTGTCTATTTTATAGCCAGTACAATGTATGTTACGCGCCTGATTGCCATTCATCATAAATCTGTTATTCACTGTTTTTCTAAGTGCGACATTTGGGCAAAATGTCACCAGATGGAACAAATTCTAAATCCAGTTGTTCCTACTTATTTTTCTAACAGTAGTATTTGGCTTTGACTTGGTGCATGCGATTAATCTTGTAGGAAGAAACTAATGCAGCTTTTTGTGGTTGAAATTTAACTCCTAAAATGTACGTAACTATGGCTACAAATTGGCGTCATTGTGCGCCATCCTCTGATCCAGCGACACAGACAAACTGCACACTTGAACCTGTCACTCTTGATTGAACCAAAATTCCAGATCTGGATCTGAGTCAATTGCGCGGTTGCAAAAAGTCCTCGTTGCTCCGCATTTCGCACCAGCGACGCACATGCCTTGTTTACAAAACTTGCCAATCGTACACTTACAGACGCATGAACCAATAGGAAGAAGGAGGGGAATATGAATTTGGTGTGCATGGGTCGCGATTGATAGTGAAATGAAGAAAATGTCCAGTGGTAGTCTTGGGACTGCTAAAGCCCTAACATCCTTGTATTTTAAAATCAAATTAACGTTTCAGTCTTAGTGTTGGAAGTAGTGTGCATTTCTAGCGAGATCACAAAAAGAGATCAGTGATAGTAGGCAAACAAAACCGGAATATTTTGTGTAGCAGAGGAGCGACCAGCTCCAAGTACGACCACCCCTGATTGTGGAAACTTGGCCCTTTCTATTGTAAAAAAGAATCCATGCTTAAAGTGTGGTCTCTACGACTTGGATTCTGACATTCTTAAAAATCAGATAAAAACAGTAGAGGAAAGTTAAGTCAATTACACCATCGTGGTACAGGATTGAGGTACAAGCTAATGGGCGTTGCTGAATCACAAGGATATTTTTAATTGAACACTATCCCATTTTGTCATTGCTACTGATATTATTTAAGTAACTGGTATTGTCATCATAATTTTTCGACGACGAGTTGCGCGGACACTCCGTCCATAGGTCTGTCACGCCTACCGTTAATCCTCACACCCGCAATACCTCACTCGCACAATCGAGAGATCGGAAATGCGTGTTAGCGATCAACAGACGCTATTCTGGACCACTGTCTGCGGATGGATCTCACGAAGCAGTGCGGCACCATTTGATGGCTGTCCACGACTACACTGTCCCAACGCCTTCAAGAAATGGTCAAGATTCGCCGTCACCAACGTGGCAGTTATATCCACGTGATTTAGGTACAACCCCACTGTCTGACGTCAACGAGAATAAAACGGTGTAGCGGATTAACAGCGATCGCGCCTGAGTGAACCCCCCTTCTTCACTGATCAGACGTTGACGATGACTCATCCCCTATTCATTGGTTAATGTTACCAGATGCCTGTCATCCGTTCACTCATCCACGCACTTAGCTGGCGTGAGGCTAATAAACGGTCGTGTCCTCTGTCACCTCTCCTCCCTCCATTATCGGGTTGCTACGGGCTGTTAACCAGAGGGTTGTAAGGCAGTCCAAAAACTCTAGCTACTACAACGGCCTTGAACTACAAGGGGTAACATCTGCCATGGATCTGTGATGTGTGGATCCACGCCTATTGAGCGAAAAGAACGCTGCACTACGATTAGGACGACAGAACGCACGCACCAGCGTCTGCCACCAGTTGAACACAATGCGGTCATGCCTCGTCACCACGCTCCACGGATTGGACATGTAGGCACTCGCCAGAAAACCCTCTCCATCCACACACCATCAGAGAAACACGATTTTAAAAGTACACGGGGTTTATTTGCTTGAGAGTGGATGGGGTGCATCAAGGCGTGGCAGTTGAATGTCCCAATGCCTGTTGTTCTCGTCGTCACATTCCACTGCCTCAGCATTATCGATTGCTGTTGTTCGATAATCTGCCAGACACATGGGCGTCCTGGTGGAGATGTCGTTATTGGCAACAGCTCAGCTGACATATCCCACATCAGGACAACACTGATTGACAGACGGAACGATGCCACTTGCTCTCGTTCTTGCATTTCATGCCAGTTCATTTGTTCATGTCCGACGGCTGGCCACCAACGCGGACGTCCTGTTAGGCGAACCGTCTATGACATCAAATTAGCTGAACCAGGTTGAGGCTCCCTTGGAAATGGGGTCTGTGGACAAGTCGGTTGACCTCTAAAAACAGACGACAATAATGCAAAACGAACTAGACACAAGTGGGAACAAGGATTACGAAAAGTGATGGACAGATTTTAAAGTGAACTTCCATCACCCACCGAGGCTTAGCTGCAATGTGTCAAGAGGGAATACGGAGGGTTCAATGGACATTTGTGGCCTCAGCGTATACCTCTACTTCGAGCAACGAAGCAAGAAAAGATCAAAAGGCAGCCGATTTCTGGCCTGAGAGTGGGCGAACACCAACGCCACGTGCTCGCACACCCTGGCCACGACTGTTGCAAGAGGCAACAACAGCAAAGACAACGGAAACGTACCTGAGCACAGAGGCGGCGGCGGTCCAAGTTGAACACCTCCGCATTGCCGCCAGCTGATTGGCAGCAGTGCTTCTGGTGATGTGGACTGGATCCCTCCACGAGCATTGCCAGAGGCATTTCAATCAAATTCGACGCTGCCTCTTCGACCAGCCCCTCAGATCCCAAAAGCGGCTTTGTCCGGAGGCACAGTTCCCGGATGATCGAGGCAATTCAGCGACAGACACACGGTTGTTTGCGATTTCTGCCTCAGGCACTGATGCCACCACCATCAAAGGAATATAGTAGAGTACGATGTGGCCCTCGACAGTCACAAATGCTACAGTTCGTGTTTGCCCTCAACTAGCGCCAGATAAGCTTTCGTCTCTGAACCAACCACACACACCTTTCCTCGAGTCATACAAAATGGCAACTGGCACACCTGTCTGGGGCAACAGAAGCTTGTGCTACCATCCAACCGTTTGCCTAAATCCTCCTTTCTGACTCGTGGTTCGCCGCGAAAATTTGGCTATCTACCTTGCAATCGAAGGTCGACAATTCACGACTCACCAAGACCACAATCTGCTGAGTTCGGCCAATCGATGGTGAGGACAACACAGTGGCCGATGCAACTCTCGTACGCACACACTTTCATCCACACGGACCAACTGATATTAGTATAATCGAGATTCGTGATTACGCGGAACCAAAGTCCATCAAACAACTTCGACGTTTCTTGGGCATGCTCAATTTCTACCGCCGATCCCTCCTCATTGCAGCTCAGACCCTTCCGTGCAAAGATTGCTCTGAGAATCCAACCATGACCGACGAGGCACGTGCGGTTCATTCCAAATGCCGCTGGAATTTTTTCTCTGACTGAATTGCTTCAGGGTAATCTCAAGAAGCCAACGGTTACTCAGGAGGCCGAAGCTGCTTCTAAGGCAATAAAAGAAGGCGATAGGAGGTGTTACGAACAAGAAGAAGGAGGCGAAGCTGGTCTTACGAACAGATGCTTCCCAAACTGCGGTCGTCGCAGTCCCTCCACAAAAGCTAGGCCGCCGTACTGAGCCGTTATCATTCTTTTCTCGAAAGCTTCAACCAGCTCAGACCCGTTACAATACCTTTTCCAGAGAATTATTGGCTGGAAGGGAGTGAGTTCACCATTTTTACCGATCATAAGTCACTAATTCATGCCTTTCGTGCAGCCTCTGATCGGTATTCCCCACGCGAATCCAGATATCTTGACTATGTTTCCCAGTTCATAACCAATATTCGCCACGTTGATGTGACCGATAACGTCGTGGCCGATGCGCTGTCCCGAGCACATATTCATAACCTTGCAGTTCCTGGTATCGACGTTACGAAGACCTGTTCCGTGTCGATCTCGCGTCCCAGGATGACGCATGGAAAGTCAGACTCCTTACCCGCAAACTGGGCCCATCCGAGTTGG